GCGGTGTGCGCCGTGCCGCGGTGCGTGCCGCGGTGTGCGCCGTGTCGGGTGGCTGTGCCGCGGTGTGCGCCGTGTTGCGTGGCCGTGCCGCGGTGTGCGCCGTGCCGCGGTGTGTGCTGCGGTGTGCCGGGTGGTGGAGCTGCTGCCGCTGCGGCCCTGGGCAGGGGCCCCAGTTCCGGCAGCACCTCCCTTCCTGCGCGGAGCTGCGGGGTGTCACCCCCCGTGGAGAACCGCCGACGTGCGGGATGGGGCGAGCGAGTTCCGCCGGTGGGGCGGTGAACCGGACGAGAAGGGAAGCGGCGGAGCCGTCGGGGTTTGTGCGGACGGTGTCCGGTGCAGGGAATGCTGCAGGTGGCTGAGGCGCTGTCCCCAGCCCGTGCTCGCTGGTGCGGAGGTGCTGCTCAGCGCAGCCTCAGAGCTGCCTGGGCTCCCTGAGGAATTCCTCTCTTCAGGTGATTTGTGCCTTCTCTGCTGAAATAGACGAACCGAAATTTTCTAATGCGGGCAGAGCTTTAGTTGCTCAGTTATACATTTCAGACAAACTGGACCGAAAACAAGTGCGTGCACAGATGCGTTGCTAGGCTCAGGTTTTCCGTCAGCTGTCCCCAGTGTCGCCCTGGTGACGCTTCCTCGCGGTCTGCCTGCTGCCCCCGTGTTCCTTCCCTGCCATCTGAGCACGGTGGTGCATTGACGTTGGAGTTAGATACGCGCCAGCCTTTGCTCCTGTCCCTGACATGCACCAGAAGCTTTTTGCGCTGGGGACAGAGGCTGGGCAGTGGTTTAGATGTGTCTGTAATTGCTCTGGGTTGTACGGTGCACAGAGCAGACTTGTTTTTATGGGCTGGACCAAGCCCCACGATCGCCACCCGCAGAGCACTTCCAGACAGACAAACGGAACGATGAAAGGGAAATAGAGAACCTTGGCGGTCGTTAAAGGCAGCGGTACCTGCCGGCCTTCCTGCAAACCAGTTGCAGGCGCCAACTGACGAGTTGGTGTCTGTGGTGCTTTAATCAGAACTTGTTCTGGTCTGAAGTTGGTGCTTCCTGAGGTCTGGCTTAAGCCCAGCGGCGCGGTTTCAGGGGAGCCTCTGGCAGTGCCCGGGGGGACGGGCCCCGGGTGAGGACGTGCCGCTTCCCCTTCCCGCCTCTGGCCTCCAGAAACACTCAGCACGGGGCTTCCTGGGCCCTCTGCGCGCTCCGTGCGGTCCGTAATCCTGAAAGGGTTTCTCCTCGAATCACCTTACTAAACGCGTCTTTCTTTTGTGGGGAAGGGTCTGGCAGCCAGCATCGCTGGGGGGCAGCGGGAAGCCCAGAGACCCGTGTGGTGTCCTGCTGTTAAAATTGCAGTTTTTTGCTCTCCCCTCCTACACAATGCTACTCTGTCATTTTAAAATGAAGGTGCAAAGACCCATTTATCTTAAAAGCCCTATTTGAACACTTGATTGATTTCACCCATGTGCAAAATGGGTATCAAAAAATAAATCTGAGGGGCAAATGCACACTTGTGGGTCTTGGCTTGTTAAGCGCAAGGGTAGATGATGTACATGTGGAGTTGCTGTGAGCTGGGTGCAGACTGGGGGAGGACGAAAAAAGTGGGTCTCGCATTTCCCACTGCGAGTGCAGAAAAATGGGCCGCTACACGTAAGCCATTTGCAGCAGAGATCTCTGTTCAGGTCTCGTCCCGTGCTGGCATAAATCACGCATAAGCCTGCTAAAAACTGGAATTGGAATGGCATAACAGGCCAAAATTGAACTCCCAAGTGTGATCGTCTTTCTCAAGCAAAGATTTAGAACCTAGAAGATATTTAAATCTAATCAAAGCTTTTCCCCTGAGCCCGCAGCTCCCCGGGAGCTCGGAGGCGGGGGAGGGTGGGCACAGGTAATTTCAGTGTGTGATTGTCCCCCGTGGAGTGTGTTACAGGCTTTGCCGTGGGTCTAACCCTCAGCTGCTCCGCTGAACGTCCCGTTTCTGCCCTTGCCCGGGGGCCCAGCGCCCTGCGGTGGGAGCAGCAGCGGTCCCCTCCGCCGCCCCGCGCCCGGGACCGGGTGCTGCTGGAGGCGGGGGCTGCCTGGCCACGGCAGCGCGGCCCCAGCCCCTTCCACGTGGTGTTTGCTGTGCTGTTGGCAAAGCCGTCAGGCTGCTCGGAAAGAGCAACTCGCAAGTAATATGTCTGGGACTGGTAGGCCTAAATTCCAGATCTGTAATAAATGGGAACTTAATGAATATAGTATGTTTGTTCAGAGACATAAATTAGATTTATCTTTTTTGGGATTTGTGTACTGTGCAACTTCCTACTAGTGTTGTGGTTGCAGCTGTGTAGAGTAAAAGCTCACCTCGTGTGTTTGCTGACCTGAGGCCGGGAGAACCTGATAAATGGTGGGACAGTGAGGAGCCCTCCGAGCATCGCCCCGTTGCCCTGGTGCCTCCAACGTGCCCTTAGCAGACCCGCCTTCAACGTTTGCCCGAGGAGGTGCTTCCTTTGCCCGTCCCCTTTCCCCCCGTGCTCCCGTCCGTGAGTGGGCTGTGGGGGCTGGAGGTGTCCCCGTGCCAGATGCCGTAGGCGGCAGCCCGGGCTGTCGGCCCCGCAGCGCCGGGCGCGGTGTCCTGGCACGGCGGGTACCTGCGGCCCCACGCCTCCCCCTTGCCGAGGGGCAGCACCGCGAGGAAGCCGGAGCGTCGGGCGCCCGGCCTGGGAGGGGCTGGTGGTTTCAGCCCAGCGCGGAGGGGGTGCTGCTGCTGGCTCGCTGGGAGGAGCGCGGGCCGCCCGCCTTCCGTCCTCGGCGGCCGCTCGTCCCGGCTTTGTTTGGCCAAGCTGCTCCTTGTCGCAGGCGTGCGCGGGAGCCGGCCGGCGCCCCGGCAGCGAGCTCCTGCCCTGGGCGCGTTCGCTCCGCGACGGTTCGTGCTGAGCGCAGGCGAGGGCTCCGGCTGCTCTGCATCTCGGAGCACCGCTGCAGGCGTGGGGCGAAATCGGGTGGGTGGGAGGGAGGCCAGGAGCCCTGGAAAAACCACCGGCAACTTGTGGCGGCTGGGAAGGTCCCGGAGGTCTCCTGGGATGGGCAGAGTGCTCCTTCAAGGACTGACTTAGGTGCTCCTGGCCTCGGGCTGCAGCTGGAGGATCTGAGGCGCCTCTGTCCCACCCCTCCAGCTCAGGACACATCTCCTCGTGGTGGGGTTTTTCCACGCTGGGGCCAAGTTTTCCTGGGCGTCTCTTTGGACCCTCCTCGCCAGGGAAGATGGTCAACCTCCTGTACACGGTGCTGCCTCATCCCCCCGGCCAACCTGATGGTGATCGTGGCCGTCTACCAGCTGAGGAGGAAGCAGCCAGGCACCAGCTACGTCTTCATCCTCAACCTGGCCACTGCTGACCTGCTGGTGGGCAATGTGCATCGCCGAGGTGCTGGACATCCTCGACGGGGATTTTGACCGCAGCAAGTCCTTGTGCCTCCTGCGCATCGCCATGAGCATGACCCCGCGCATCGGCTCCATCCTGACGCTGCTCCTCATCTCCCTGGACAGGTACCTGGCGGCGACGCTGCTGCTCTCCTACCCCACCCTCCTGAAGAAGACGCCCATGGTCCTCTCCCTTGTTGTCCTCTGGATGCTCTCCTTCCTTTTCGGGCACTTGCCTCTGATCTTGCCCTCCCTCCAGCGAGGCAACTACACGGGTTAGTGCGGGCTCCTGTACGTGGCCAAGAGCGAGTACCTCTGCACCATCTGCTTTGGTGTCTTTGCTCTGTCCCTGCTGGTGCTGGTGTGCCTGCAGGTCTCGGTGGGCAGCATCGCCTGCGTGCAGCCCAGGCGGCTCCGGCGCGCCCGCCCCCGACACTGCAAGGCGCAGCGGATCGTGCTCATCATCCTTGTTGGCTTCAGCCTCTCCCGGGGCCCCTCCCTGGTGGGGGGCACCGTGCGGGCCGCCTGCAGCTCCTGCAACCTGGCCGGCCCGCTCAAGGACGCCTTGTTGCTGCTGGGCGAGGCAAACTCCCTCATCAACCCCCTCATCTACGCGCCGCACAGCAAAGACATCCGGAGCCACCTCGCCAGGCTGCCGGGGCGCGGGACGAAGGGCCAGGCGAAGCCCCTGGCCTCGAACGTCCGAACTGTTGGGAGCTGGGGCGGGGGCCGGCCTGAGGCCCCCGCTTTGCTGAGGGGTCCGTGCCCCAGCACCTCCACCCGTGCTGCTCCCACGGCGGGAGGGAAACGCTGCGTGCCCGGAGCAGCAGAGCCTTCCCACTGCATCAGCCGGGTATGAGCTGCTGCTGCCAGGAGGCTGCGGCTCGTCCACGCGCTCTGCTGTCCGCGTTAACGGCTCTCTGTCCCCGGCACCCACCCAAACAGCGCCGAGACAGTGACCTTGGGTTGCTTTGGGCAAACCGTGGGCTTTTGTCCCTCTCTCTGCACGGGGAACCGCCGTGTCTGGAACCTGCAGCAGGCTGAGCTGCCGTCCAGCGCTCGTGCCAGGGAGGTCTGGGCATCCCTCTGGCGCCACGTCCGTGGCAGAGGCGCTGGCTGTGCAGAGCGGTGCCTGTGCGGTGACTCCTGAGCAAACGCCTCCTCCCTGTGTACCTGACCCAGGCTCTGACTTGGCTGTGCTGTTTGCTTTTATCTTTGTGCCACATCCACCGGCCCAGACGACCGGTCAGCCTGGGCTGGTTTCTGCCAGGAGACAGAAGGGAGGTTGCCCGGGAGCAACGCGCTGACACCAAGCACGGATTTACTCTACCCCGAGCAAAGCCCCTCTTGGTGCCTCCGTGGCCAAGATGCACTTCGCCGTGGGCTGACAAGCGCGTGTGCTCTGGTGCTCCCCAGCCCAGAGCCCCGCTCACGCAGAGCGGGACCCGCTTGGGATGGGACGGCGCAGGAGAGGGGCCGTGCAGAGCCCGGGGCTGCGCTGTGCTCGGCCGCGGGGCAGGGCTGCGGGTGACCCCTCGGTGCCTGTGCGCAGGCACTGCGGCACCACGGGCGTCCCGCGCCGCTCGCGTTGGCCTTCACACCACATGCGTGCCGGTCAGACTTGAGCGTTTACTATCGCCCTGACCGAGCTGCGGAGCTCGGCGCTGATGTCAGAAGTTGTGCAAAGCCGCAAGATCTTTAAAGTCTGTGTGATCAGGTACGCTGGAGGCTTGATTTTGTCCCGTTGGTCATTAGAAGGAAAGTTTAAGCATCCCCACAGTCTGTCCAAGAGCCGCAGGATCCTCACCCTGAAGGCGAGCAGCAGGAGCTCGTCTTCGCCCAGCCGGGCGGGGGGAGGCAGCCGGCCGCCGCCGCCGACCTGGGGAGCGGAGGCAAGCGGCGTCAGCAGAGCCGCAGCAGCGCGGGACGGGGCTTCGGGGCTTCGGTCTCTCCCCAGCAGACAAAGCTGCCCCCGTAGCAGGAGCCCAGGGGGGAAGGGAGCTGCCCCGCGCCCTGCCCGCAGGGGTCACGGCTCCTCCCCGCGGCAGAGCCAGGGTGACCCTGGGGGACGCGGCCAGGGACCTGCCCGGGAGCGCTTCCCGCAGTCTGCAGCCCCTTGCGAGAGCTGGGGCTGCTGAGCCCCCCGCCTGCATGGGGCTGAGCAGGGGTCCACCTCCACTGCTGCTTTGGGGGGCAGGACCCCGGGAGCACCTACCGCAGGATGAGCGCTCTTCCCCATGGACTGGGGCTTCCCTGGCCGCCCCGCTCCCGCTGTGGGGAGCGGCTTTGTGTGGAGCTGCCTGCGTGCGCGTGAGAAATACCTGCACTTTGGTTCCCACGTTGAATTTTGCTTGTTGTCCCATGGCGAGGAAAGAAACGGTGATCTTGTCCTGGCCCAGGATCCTGACCCCCACGTGCCGGTTCAGGGAGATGAAGATGGGGCTCAGCGGGATGTGGGGTCCTGATGACATGGCGCTGTTTGGCCACGTCCACCTTCTCACCCTGCTGCCTGCCTGGTCCAAATACTGCCCTCCCTGAATAGTCATGTTTATCCTAAAAGAGAGGAAAATCAAAGTGCTGAACCCTGCAGCTCCCACGGCCGATGTCCCTCGCTCCCCGGAGGGACGGGACCGAGGCACAGCTGGGGAAGCTTTGCTCCTCTGGGAGCCACCCAAAGCGGGGCCTACCAGCTGCTGCATTTAATTCTTGAATGCTATTAAAGATACCCTTCATGACCTTTGAAATTAAAAACACGCAGTGGAGAACAAAACTGCTCTGACCAACGTGAACGTACCACACAGCTCCGTTCGGATAATAGCAAGTACTTCTGCCATTGGACTTAAATACTGCCTGTATTTCAGCGTTACTCGGCTTGTCTTCCTGTACTATGCAAATAAGCTGGTTTTTCTCTCGTACAACAATGATTGCCAGATTTCCCGATGGATAGCTGTTGTCAGATAAGGTGTTCATAACCCCTTTCTTCATCTGGTTGGTCTGTTACCACATACTAAATATTTCAGAGTGCTACTTTGGAGGATAAAAATTGACATACTACCCAGCTCGCTGTGTTGAAGGCGGAATGGTGGTGTGCTGCCAGTGTTACCGGGGAGGCTGCCAGTGCTTTTCTCCTACATTGGAGTATTCTGTATACACTGACAGAAGAGTGGTTAGAGATACAGAATACATTTTTCTTGCTTTCGAGCCAATAACCCAGGCAGAACTGCTTAGCAAGTTTAAAGACACCTTCTCGGACAGTGCTTATGTCTGAAAGCACGAGCCTAGCAAAGAGAAGTGATGCAAGTGCTCAGCTTGGGTGACAGCAGAGGAAATGGGCAGGTATTCTCCCAGAGAAAAAAACCAAGCAAGCAGTTTGCCCTGGAGACCCGACTCGAACGGACCCAAGCAGCAGGTATTTGGTGTCTCACTGGGGCTCCCCTCCAGCAAGAGCTGCTGCTGTGAGCACGGGCGTTTACAGCACTTTGCCATTCGCCACCGCCGCGACCGGCAGCATCCCAGGGACGGCGGCAGCCGGGAGGGCAGAGCAGAGGAGCAGGCTCACGCCCATTTGCTTTGGTGGCAGAGCTCAGGTGCATTTTCATACACTCCCGGGTCAGAAGGAAGTCAGCCACAGTAAGGAAAATAATGTGGGTGACTTAAAATGTTATGGCTTAAACAACGGCAAAGGCAGCCTGAAAGCTGCAGGGTCCTTTGGTGGAACGGCCCCGTTTTTATTTCTTCAGGCAGCAATTTCAGTTTGTCCGTGCACCTGGTGCGTACCCCTGCCCGCAGGACAGGGGCATCGGCCCCAAACGTGCTGGTCTGTGCCCGGGGGAGGGACGGGGCTGAGCGCTTTCGGAGCCTGCTTGGCCAGCAGTGCCCTTCCACGGGTGGCCAGAGCTCGGGAGTGGGACTGAACACTGGGCCAGCGCACTTGTTAGGCTGGGAATTAGACGCACGTGCCCGTCCTTCATCAAGGCTCCTGGCTGGTCTGAAACGCTTCAGACCAAGAGCTGTATGGAGGCGAGTCTGAGGGGTGGAGCAGGTTATTCTGCGATAAAGCAGACCAGGACACGCTTCAAATCACAGTTACGACCCTGGAGTACTGCGGGCAAGTGGGCCCCGTAAAGGATACAACAGCTGCGCTGCTCCGTCCGGAAGCACGGTCAGGAATTTCCCTCCGTGTTTGTAGTATTTTTCCAGTAACTCCTTCTTGGCTGCCTGGGGTTGGGAGAGAAGCGATGACGCGGAGGAGAGCGGCCCCGCGGGGCAGGGGGGGGCTGGGCTCCCACCGCGGCGAGCGCGTCGCGCCGGGCAGCAGCTACTCGCCTCCGCGCCCGCCGGGGCGAAATCGCAGCGGGCGACGTCGTGGGAGACGGGCTCCTCCTCGGGCGCTGCTGCTCTCGCGGGGGGCACCAGCGTCGGGCCCTGCGGCGACGGGGGCTCCCGGGAAAGCAGGTAGGAGATGGTGCCGGCTCGGGTCGCACCTGGGAGCAAAGGGAGGGTCCGCGCGCATCGGGCAGCGCCAGTGGGGCTGGGGCTGGGGCGAGGGGGAGTGGGAATTTCTGGCCGAAATGGTCTGTCCTGGGAGCCTGTCTCAGGGTGTTTTCTATCGAACAGGGGCAGTCCAAAGTGTTCAGCCATTTCGGAGAACAGGACTCTGAAAAAAGGTGTCGTTTTTTCAGTTGCGTATATCCACACGTCTGTGTGAGCAAGGAATGGCTTGTTTTGGATAGTGTTCATGACTCCATGCTCTGGAGGACTGACAATCTGAAATCCCTGGTGCTGCAGAAGCCTCAGTGCCCTGCCATCCCCTGTGAAAATATGCCCATGTTGTAAACCTAGCTCATCTGTTACTGGTCAAAATGCCTTCGACTTCATAGCTAGGTCCAGAGGGCTGCTCGGCCATCCACAGCCTGGGCTAGGATTAGCGGAGCATTCACCTGATGAGGCAAAACGTTGATCGCCCTGATTCTGGCAGTTCCTACCTTCCACGGGCTTGGCTTTGCCAACTTGCTGTTCTCTAAGGTAATTTCTGTGCATCTCGGCTGAAACGTTCAGCTGCAAATACTGAAAGTCCCGGCACGGAGATCCTCCTCTGTGCAATGGGAATATAACTGCTTTTGTTTTTTCATGTGAGGGGTTATTTAATACGGCAGTATCTAATTTAATGGGATTGCACACTCGACAGTGCACTAACGTGTCGCTGTATAAATCCTCCTGTTCAATTAGAGAGCATTAGAGACGCAATTCCATTGAATTAACTGTTGTAATAAATAGACAAATAAATACGTAAGGAAAAGCAAACTCACATTCAGTTACTCTCGTCGGCTCTGCTGCCAGGAAAGCTAACTGTCTGGCCATTTGTCTCTCCCGCTGCCTGGGAAGTAAAAGCATTCCTGGTATATGTTTCATATATCCTGGTTTGAAAGCTAGAGGTACTGGATATCCCTCTTGTAGGAACACAACTTTCTGGACCTGTTTTTCTCTCCACTCGCATGACTGCAAATAGCAGTTAAGAGGCAACAGAATATCGCCAAAATAAATAGTATCCCAACAAAAAGGAATTGCTCCCATACAGAGATTTCAGTGAACAGACTGCGACTGCAGTGACACCACCTCTACTGACAGCAGGGCTGAACATTGGAATGGATTTTGCATCAAGATTTTACGTAAAAGAGGAGATCTGCCCACAAGATCCAGAAAACTGCTCATCTCCAATGATATTTGTTCACTATTCTTACCTAGCTCCCTATAAATCTGTCAGTGTCTGACAGTGGCTCTGGTTTATGCTCTGCACGTAGCACGAGGGGCTCACACCATCAGGCTGCAAAGGACCTTCAAGGAAACTAAGGGTTTACTTCCAGGCATGCTGATTTACTTTTCTTTAAGCCTATGGCATAGGCTTAGGTACTTGTATGGGTTTTGGGCCTTCTGCTAAACAGCCCAGGAGAAGTCAAACGTGCAGAGTTCTCGTGACTGGAAGTTGGAATGCAAATGCACGTCACAGTTTATGCAGCAAAACAGAGAAATACAAACTCAAGCTTTGCTTCTGTCCCTGAGGTGAAATCTAGACCCAGATACTACCCCTCCCGCAGCTGCACTTATGTTTTTGGCTCTGCCTGTCTCTAGATGTTCGGTCTGTCAGCAGTGGAATTAATGCTTTCCTCAGCACGTACCCTGCACCTTCTAACTCAGCCTGGCAAGAGAAAAGCCACGAGTGAGTGTCCAGATGATGGAATAGGAACCTGTGTTGCCTAAAGCACATTTTTTCCTCCTTCCGTTCCCTCTTGCTGCAGTTTGCTTTTCTTAACGCTCCCCTTCCCTCCCGCGTTGCCGCACGGAGGCCGGCTCCCCGCTCCCCCCTGCATCACCGCGCGGTACCTCGGGCACCTTGGCCGCAGCCTGCTGGCTTCGTCGCCCGGGGGCTGGCGGGGGCCGGCGGCAGCCGGCGCGCTGCGGGAGCCTTCGTGGTGCTTCCTCTCTCTTAGGATGAACTCGAAGAGCTCTCGGCGACGCTCACAGCAGAATTTCTGAGGGGCAGAAGGGGGATGCCACGAGCGCAGGCCTTTGCGCAGCCCGCCTCTGCTAATCTTCCCCACCAGTTTACCGATTCATAATCCCGTGGCGGTGAGCAAGTGTCTTCGAGGGAGGGGAAGGGTTTCAGCAGGCTGCCGCAGAACTCGCACCTCGGAGCAGGGCCCTCCTCTGCCTGAAGTGGAGGTGGGGAGAGAGAACACGGGGAGGACGGAAAAACGGCGTCAGCGTGCAAATCCTCGTCTTATCTTGGGGAGGGAGGGCTCTGCTCAAAATGCCACGTGTGAGAGCAGTTAAAACAGATCTGTGTTTGTGGTGTCTTGGAACAATTTAATTCAAAACATTAGGTCCAGGAAACCACCAAAAAGAAAAGCAGATCTGTAGCAAATAAATAAATGAAAACCCTCAAAGAAATGGGATGACTGTGGTCTTTATGAGACCCATTCCTTCCGAGGGAAAGCTTCAGAGCATGCAGAACGCTATAGTTGAGTACCCTGATGCATTAACCCTTTCAAACACATTGCTCGGGGCTTTGGAGAGAAAAAACCTCCCAGATTGTTGCGCTGTTGGTCGTAGTAAAATCGGTGGGAATTTCGTGAGGAACCACCAGCAGATTTACTGACAAAAGCGCTGAGCATATTTGACCAGATGCAAATCAGGGCTGCTGCAGGATGGGTACTAGACCTTCTGAAAGAAATACCTATTTTTTGAAAACACGTTTTGAAACAGAGTTAATGAAGGTGCAGCTGCCAGGAGCACGCTGCTGAACTTGGTGTGCAGCGTTCCCAGCCCCAAGGGCAGCGCACCCAGCTCGGCGCTCCTCGGGGAGACACCGGCCGTCCAGCGGCAGCGCCGCGGGGTGAAGGGTGCTGGCCCCGGGCTGCTCAGCTGGTGAGCTTCTCTTGTGCTTCATTTCCTCTGCTCCGTGCTTAACACTTTCATTCAAATCCTTGTCGGAACATACTAATTGGAAAAACTTGGCTTCTCTGGAGCACAGTTCCTGGGAATTCCCTTGCTCCCCACCTCTTGCCTAGCATTAACTCTCCTTGATTACTTCACTCTGCTAAGGGTTGCAGGGAGTTCTATGCCCTGCTCGTATTCTTTGACTGTATACCTAGTATTTATGTAAATTTTGTATCTCTGTTTTAGCCAAAGGGCAGAATCTTCTGCTAGGAAATTCCCAACACAGGATGCAGCAGTGGGGAGAGGAGCTGCACAGCCTCTTGCTGTTTAGGCGTGCACAACAAGCAGCGTTTCAACAGCCTCCCAAAAGCAAAACACCTACATAAAGGAACTCCTGCGCTGGCTTGGCAAAGGGTATTATTTTTATTTTTCCTGCATGGGAATCGTAGGAATTAAACAGAAGAAGCCACGCAGTAGGGAACACCCACCACTGACTCACCTCAATCTGTATGTTTTCTCGTGACAGTTCAGGTCTGTAGGCCAGAAGGGTAGGCAGGCCAACGGAGGGGAGCGTGCGCAGCGATTCCTTGAACAGCTTCACAAAATCTTCTTCGAACTCAAAGTGGAAAAAATACCAAAAGCAATGTGGGGTCATATCTCTGTTCAGGGGTAAAGCCATTAAGCATAGAATGTATGTATGCAACCTGGGTGAGCCCTTACCTCCATGTCACACAAAACTTCTAAGCTGCCGAACTCTTCTGACAGGGCTGCAAGTAATAACGACAATGAGAGTTACTGAAGAGCAGTGCTGTGTTCTCAGAAAGCTTATCTTCTAGACACATTTGTTCCTTTTCCAGCATGCCAACCACATCGGCTGCCTGAGACCATCTTGCCAGACGTGGTCCTACGCTTTCAGAAGGGCAGCTCTGGATCTGTCACCCTCCCCAGATGCCTGCGGGACTGGAGCTGCGCACTGACACAGGATCGGGGCTTTAAAATCCCACTGAAGTCGTGGGGACAGCTTATTGCTTAGTGGCTTGTAGCGCTAATCCAGTATCCCGTTACCCTGTCAAGCATTTCCAGCCTCCCTTGTCCTAAGAAGAAAGAGCTGTAGAGACGGTTGAAGTTTTTTCTCATTTCCAAGTGCAGTCCGTGCTGCGTGTGTGCAGCAAAGGGCTTTTTGGCCTTTGGGGCTACAGGGAACATCTCGGCTGACCGGGTGTCCGTCACCGTCCTCAGCAGCCCCGGTTCCCTCTCGGCAGACAGCGCTTCCAACATCCAGCCCCTCAGGAGCACAACTGTGTCCCGTCCCACATACATCGCCTCGAGAACATCGACACGGCCAGCACGCCCGCTGCCACAGCCTCCTCCTCAGGCAAGCTAAACACATTCCTAGTTCTCTCAGTCTTGAATTTCGGTTCCCCTTGTCGCCACACAATTGGTCTTGCCCTCCTAAGTAAGCTTGTCCTGCTTTCCAGAAAACAGCCAGATGAAACTCTGGGCAGGATGGAATACCAAATCCTTTCTAAATCCCTCTCTTTGGAAAGTATGAAAAAATCTGAACGTGTATTTAAAAAGGATGGGGTAAAAATCACAACAGCCCCAGGTCAACACCCAGCTCCCAGGCCTGCGGTGGGAGCCACAGCTCAGGAATGTGCCCAGAAGTGAATGCACAGGAGGAGAATCTGAAAGCGATGCAGTGGGATTTGCTTACACTTTTAGAAGGCTGAATGTCGTGGCTGCTGGTTTGCCTGAACTTTGGTTTTGTTTTGTTTTTTTTTTAATTAATTTTTTAAAAATTTTAAATTTTTTAAAAGACGTGCTGCTATCACCCTGTGCAATGAAGCTGTGTCATAGAGAGTAACTGATCGTAAACCCACCGGAGAAGTGAGTTCGGGGAGTGCGAAGTGCAGTCGGTGGGGCTGCGCAGCCGGAGCACGACTGGGTGTGCCGAGGGACGCGGGGTGCCCGGGGTGCTCCGGGCGGGTGGACCCGCCACGGTCTTACTCTGCCCTCTCTGGTGGGCTTTGCAGCTTCTGTATCGCCCCTACCTACCGCTGCTGCATCCAAACCCAGGTAGGTGTTTGTTTGGTTATTCTGTACTTTGATTGCTTCTGCGACAGTCATCCCAAGGATTTGCAAAGCTCCACCAAAAGGGCAAAGCCTACAATGTTTTTCTCCTGCAAACACATTCTCAGCATATTTCCAAACAAACGTCCTCTAAAGGCTAGAAGAGAGTGATGTTTGTCTGTCGTGGGCTGTGCACGTCCCCTTTCTGTCGGGACGGATCTGCACGCAGCTTTCCCCAGGACTTCCAGTTGGTGTGCTGTGTTTTGTGGCCCCGATCACTCCTCCTGCTCTGAGGGGCAGGTGAGATGTGGGAGACGTTCTCCTACAGAGGAGAGCTGCCCGGCACTGACAGTGAAGCACAAGGGCTGTTGGATGTGGTGCCCAAAAGGGATGGGATCCGGCAGCAGCCACCACTGGTGTGCTGCACGCGAGGGTGCGGTGCTGTACCTCAGCGGGCCAGCGAAGGAGCCGGCTACTCGGGCACATGCCGGGACGGCTCAGCTGAGCAGGGCGGGAAAAAGGCTGAGATATTTTCAGCAGTCCTTGGAGGCTTTGCCAGTACCTCTCACAGGAATACAATACGCTATTTCTGCCGCCTGCTGAGCACTCCCACGCCGGCCGGCTGGCGCAGCGTTCCGGCACGCTTCTCGGGGACCCTGAGGGTCGTTTAGAAGCGGCTCTGCAGAGAGGCTAACGAGGGCACCGCAGAGGGGGGCTCCCGGGGGCTGCTCCCGGGCGTGCCGCCACTTTGCAAAAGGGTCTCTGGGAGGTGGCGAAGTCGGGCGTCTTCGAAAGGCACCGGGGCACAGGGTGGCTTGAGCGAAAGACAATCCAAGTGAGCAACCTCTTTCTTGAGCAAAGCTGTTTCTTACTTGGTTTTCTGTAGGCGAGTTCGCGGAGCCCGCCAGCTCCTGTCTGCGACGCCAGAACTCCGGGCGGCCTCTGCGCCGCGGCGGGCTCGACGCTGCCCGGCGCTGCCATTTCCCTTAATTGAAGACACAAACCCACCAATTAGTCAGGCAGAGCGACGCTGAAGCCCTGGATGGTTATACCCACGACGGGGCCTTTCCCGAGTGGGTTTCGCCGTGGGCCACGGCCCGTGACGGGCTGACGGTGCCCGGGGGCAGCAGCTCCCCCACCTCGGGCCTCCCCACAGCCGGTGCCACCGCCCGGGAGGGGACACACGGGGAGAGCCCGCGCCCCTGTGAGGCCGAAGGGCGCTCGGCCCCACTCCCGGTCCCGACCCTGATCATGGTCCTAAATCTGAACCTGATCCTGATCCTGACCCCGCTCTTGGTCCCAACCCCGCTCCCGACCCCAATCCCCCTCCTGATCCAGCTCCCAGTCCCGCTCCCAACCCCGACCCTGGTCCTGGTCCCGGTCCTGATCCTGATCTCGACCCTTGCTCCTAATCTCAGTCCTGGTCCCGACCCCAAACCTGATCCCGATCCTGCTCCTGATCCCATTCTCGCTCCCAACCCCGAGCCTGATCCTGGTCCCGGTCCTAATCCTGCTCCCGATCTCGACCCCCGATCCTGCTGCCGATCCCGCTCCCAGTTCCGATCCCGCTCCTGATCCCAACCCCGCTCCTGGTCCCAACCCCGAACGTGATCCTAATCCCGCTCCTGGTCCCGATCCCGACCCCGATCCCGACCCCCGATCCCGACCCCCGATCCCGATCCCGCCCGCGGCCCCGCGGGGCGGCGCTGGCGCGCGCCGTCTCCAAAGCAACGCGGCGGGCGCGGGGGCTGCCGGGACAGCGCGCGGGGGCGGGCGGGGCCGCCTCAGGCGGGAGGAGGCGGGGGGGGCGGCCGGGCCCGGGGGTGCGGGGCCGGGCCCGGGCCCGGGGCTGCTCGGCAAAGCGGGGCGGGCCCGGGGCTCCCCGCTTGCGCCCGGCGCGGTTCTGCGGCACCGGCTGCCGTCGGGCCCCCCCGCGGAACCCGCGCGTCCCGCCGACAGAGCGAAAGCGAGCGGTTCTCCTCCTCAGGTGCGTCGCTGGCAGACACGCGCGGGCTCGGGGCTCCACTCGGGCCCGCGCTGCCTTGGCCGGAGCTTCTGTCACGATTTGCCGCCGCCCCGCGAGCGCGTGAGCTCGGCGACAAAATAAGCAAGCCCTACTCGTTTTGAGGGAAAAAACGGGAAGAGTAACGGGGGGGGGGGTGGGGCGAGCCCTGGCCCCCCGGCCAGCCCGGCTCCTCTGCGGGCACGTTTCACCCTGTTTCAAAGTCAGGTTGCTTAGGTGGCGGTCAGGAGCCTTGTCAGGGAAACCAGGCCGGCCTCGGTAGCTCTTTTCTGACTATCGTGAGGAACTTTCACAGATTTACTGATGTGCTGCCGCTTCCCTTGGCAGGGTGCTGATGCCCTGCGAGCCTCGCCTGCCTCCGGACAGCACCCCCGGGAAGCCGAGCCAGCTGCGCAGGGAGGAAAAACCAAAACGCTTGGACCGAGTGTGGAACAGCTGTGGCCTGCTCGTTCACTGAGCTGAAGAGGAAACACATCACTTCGTGGCAGCACCAGCTGAGGTACTCCTTATCCTAAATTAGGTTTCAGTCAGAAAAGGTACTGCGTGTTGGGCTTTTTTTTGCTGTGAGATATAACAAAAGTCTGCCATTCCTTCAGAACTGAATGGTGTGGAAAGACCTAGTGCAATAATGTGTGTTAACTTATCTAATGGGGGATATAGGCAACGCTGGAGCAATTAATTTAACTAATCCTGCTAGAATCAAAGACGTGTTGACCTTGTGTCCCAACTGTCAGTAAGAAAAATTATCTTTCACTATAAATGTTGCTGAAATAAGGGAAAATGAATCAAATCCTTAGGAATTCTTGCTTAACAAGTTCTGCTGAAAGCGCAGGTGTTAACGCCTGTCAGAGCCAGAGCTTGACTTTGATCCTGCTTGAGCAGGAGCAAATTAGTTCACTCAGCTGATGCCACTGGAGTTCTGCCAGCACAGTGTAAATGAGATCAAATGTAGGATCTTTATGGGAACTGGATGCGAAAAGACTGGAGTAATTCATTGGGAGGTTTTTTTCTGTGGTCACTTCCGAATTCTCACGGCCGGAACAAGCTTCCCCTCGCTGCTGCAGTCCTTGTCATTCTCTTGTGTACGTTTCTGGGGACTGCTGCCAGGCACGGGGTGACGTTTTCACAGGACTCCGCCGTAACTCCAGAGCTCTTCCCTGGAGGGATGCAGTTAGGGCTGGTTTTCTTCCCTACGTATTCTATTTATTCACACCAAGCTTCATCTGTCACTTTACATGTAGTTTTCTGCTATTGTGAGGCTTCCTACTGCTGAATAACTCAGCAGACTGTATCACCTCACAACTCACTGCCTCTTCCAAATGGCAAACATCTTAATATTCAGCAAAGCCATCTGTGGAGCTGGTATTTTTCTTGAGGGATTCAGACAGAAGGCTCTGGTCGCAGAGGGGGACCTGCAGGCAGATTCAGCTTCGGTGCCAGACTGTGATTTCAGTTTGCGGGAGTCAGGCAGCCACAGCTGCCCCTGGGTCTCAGACCCCCACCCGGTTCTCCCCCTCGGGCAGCAGCGCTGGGCGGCGAGGGGGGTGTGGGGGGGGTGTGGGGGGGTGGGCAGCAGCCCCTCGGGTCCTGCCGCGGGGCGAGCCCACGCAGGGGGAAGCCCAGCAGGTCCCGGGAGGCAGAGTGCGCACAGTAACCACGCGCACGCACAGTAGCACAGCATGCTATGCAGTGTCGTTTTTGCAAAATATTTATTACAAAATAAAAGTAAATATGGCAACAAAACTTAAATAGCAAATGATGCGACACTGGCCATAAAGCTCTTGCTATATTATTATTAAACTTTTACAATAGTCAAGTATGTCTCCAAGGGAAGCTGCATGTGGACAGCTCGAGTATATTCCTGTGTTACTGGCTCTAGCTGTTTGAGATACGTTAGGTGTGTGCCTCCTGCTCTCACCTGCACCCAGCTGCGAGCGGCTGTGCCGTGTGCTGGGCTCATGGATCCTCCTAAAACAGACGGGGGCTGGCAATTCCCATGCTCAGCGAGACCTGCCATGCTTTACCCCAGCCCCTCCTCCCCTTTTTTCCTCTTAAAAACACAGCAAATGATCCAGTGCTTATCCCTTTTTAATAAGGTAGCAGGAAATGAAGTCTCAACACTGAAATACCTATTGTTCCCCTCTGAGTCACAACTTCTCTTGTGAGAGGTTGCTTGGATTTCTTTCCCACCTATTAAAAACTGTTATTAAAGCTCACCAGTGAGAGAGCAAGTCTATGTTCCTGCTGAAAGGGCTTTTAGGTGTGCTCCAAACAGGAATGCAGTCCTTCAGGTCTCTTAAGCCACATGTCTAATGGAAGTACTCTTTAAATAAAATAGAATTAAATTTAAAAAGGTGACTGTGTGTGGGGAATCTTCCTAAGGCACCCAAGAATTTAAAAAGAACTTTTCCCACTCATATTAGTTACAGAACACTTTTGTTCCTCTTCTCTCCAGAGTTAAAAATGTTGGCTAGTTAGGAACCTTGGCATACAGGATGGCATAGTTGAGTATCATTTAAAAAAACCAAAAACAACAGAAAGAAAGAAAACCCTTGGTGAATGTAAAGCACTATGTCCAGACAGCCTAGGTTTCGCTAGCTGCGCAGATACATCACGGACAACACGTAGAAATAGTCACGTTAATGCCGAGGTTTCCGTTGTCAGCGAAGAGGTGTGCTATAGCCGTATCAAAGACTAGGCAGTCGCTGTTCAGGATGGCCGCGGACACCCCGTCGTGGATGGAGCGCGGCGTTGCCTCCCAGGTCAGCCGGCGGCGGTTGCCGTTCAGCTCCAGTCTGTACGCAAAGTTCTCCGCTTGCTTGCGGGTGCCGATGAGCAGCACGATGGCAAAAAACTGCTGGTGACCTTCATACTTCTCTTGTTTCTCCAGCACTAGCATGAAGTGGTGACCGAAGCACGACTGCATCATCACCCAGTCAACCGCCCCTGGAAGGTTAATGTCTGTGGCAAGAAAAACGATGTCTTCTCCCTGAAGGGTGGTAATGCTTTTGTGGGCGTGCATGAGGTGGGACATCACGGCTTCCAGGGATCCCTGCCACTTACAGGAGGCACCAGGGCATGGGCAGGAGTAGGGACGATACTCACAGATGTCTTCATGTTCTGGCTTTTCTGTGTGATGGAGCGTCAGAGAGCAGCCTGTTGTGGCGTACTGGAAAAAGACCAAATACAAGCTGTCAGGAAAGGCACCAGCATGAGCGTTTGCTGCTCCCACCTGTCAACTGGAAACACTGGTAACCAACCAGGACTCTTGTTCTCATTGCAAATTTTACATTAGATACTTCTATTGAGCCCTGGATTCAGAGCTGAGCTTTACTTATTTTTGCTTCCACTTAAAAATGGATTCTTCTTGTCTTTTGTGGTTGTTTTTTTTTTTCTAACGCAAGCACTTAGATAAAATGGATTGTAAGGCTGAGTTGTAGTTAGATTTGCTGTTGCAGTTAGATCTGATTGGTCCAGATCAGCTGAAGTAGTCCTGGTTTGGATTTTTCTTTTCTTTAAAAGGAACAAAGGATTCCGGTTTCAGCAAACAGCTACTAGAGTGAATTACTGTTAAGAGATGTATCTTATTACCATCACAGAGCAAAAGCACTCCCATTAAATTCAGATGCAGATTCCCCACAATTTTTATAAACGCTGTAACAGTTTCAACACTGCAGTTGTGAGAAGTGGAGAGAGAGAGGTTGATTTTTCACTGAGCATAATGCTAGCACACAAGTAAGTTCCGTCTAACTTCTACTGTCATTGGGCAACTCAGAGGGTTAATCGCTTTAAACAAGCGGGGCCAGCTTTTCCTTTTTCTGCAGTCAGTTCAGTTGTCTGCACTGACCATATTGTTGTTTTCACACCACCTCCACAGCAGAAACAAGTCTCTCCTATTCTCCCCGAGAGCACAGCTCCCCCAGTCTGTAGGTGTCTGTAGCGGTATCAGCACCACTGCTAACGCCACCGCGCAGGTTACAGCGGGCGTGCGTGGCTGCTTACGGATGCCGTGACGTTTCTTTGAGGACAGCTACAACCAAGGTATAAATGACTATTTCTGGGCTAATATGTCTGTGAGAAGTTTCAGCTCGAAGGGTGAAATGCCCAAGATGCAAATCACCCCGTACTGCGAACATGGCCTGGGACAGAAACTTGACCTTGCGCTTCTGGAGGAGCTCGTTTCATAAGGCGTGAAGAGTTAACGTGAGCCTTTCCTCGCTGCCTGCCCCTGCTGCCTAATCCTCTGCTAAGGGCTTTAGTGCGCAGCTGCTGGCGCTTCCCGCGGCCGTACCCCGCTGAACGCTTCAGTCCTGCGAGGTGTTGAAGAGCAGCTCCCAGTCCACCCTCGTTAACAAAGCCAGTTGCAACAATACAAGCTGCTGCTTGAGCGGAACCAGCCGGCTACGCGATAGCGACCAGCGGCGGCTACAGAAGCGAGAGCGCAAAACCCAGGGGAGCAAACAGCGGTGAGAGGCGCCCGCTTCGGTGCGCTCCGAACCCAGCGCTGCGGGTTCCGCTCGGCGAGGAGCCCCACCGGCACTGGGGACGGCCAGCAGCACGCACTGACTGGCTGGGCCGTGCTGCTTGGCCAGCGCCGCCGATCCCATCCCCATCACACCCCGCGGGAGCCTGCCGCGTCTCTCCCTGCGCGCCGGTGGCACAGGAGCTCCGAGTACTCGGCCTGTGCACCTTCGCCTCGACTGCGTCCTTGAGGTGGGGGGCCCGGGCTGTGCGCGGTGTTAACAGCGCTGGTGTGCTGCTAATGCCTGGGCTGGTGTGTCTGTTTTCTGCTTTTTCACTGCCCTGCTCATCATCCCTAGTATTCCGTGCTGGAAAGTACTCTGTACTTGTTTTCACAGTCATTTCTTTAGCACTGTATTCTCTTTCCTAAGAGGAGATGGTCAGCCTAGAGCTCATCACCATATACATGACTGGTTTTGCCACATATGTCGCTCTGCATGTGCTGCTCTGACCTTCATTTTGACAGGATAGCTTTCTGAGCATCCTAAAGCGCTCAGAAAACATCAGCTGAGCTTGAAAGTGCTCCGCAGAGGCAGGCCAGTATTATCAACCCTGTAAACAAAGGCAGACGGGGACACAGGATTGAAGTAACTTGTCTGAAGCCACCTGGGAAATCAGTGGCAGAGCTGGGAACAGACTGCCAAGTCCAGATCCCTGCTGCTCTCCCTCTAGTCTACGAGTAGCTCGAGATATAAACAACGCTCCTGGAAGGAGGAGGCCCGCCTGTTCCTGCCTGCGTGCCAGCAACCTTCAGGGACCCGGCGAGGACTGAGACCCTCTCGTGCTTCACCCTCCTCCAGTGCTTTGTGAAACTGCTTTTAAGATCCGTCCAGCCTCCCGAAGCACTCGCTGAAGCTCGGGGGGGGTGCTCAGCCCAGCGCAGCAGCGATCCCAGGGAGCTCTCGGGGACGCACAGCCTCGCACCGTGCAGCCTCCGGGCTTTCCCAGCCTCGCACCGGCAAGGCTCTGCCGGGCCCGCCGCTGCGGCTCACCGGGGAGCGGACAGCCAGCGGCGCGTCCTGCGTACGGAGCGTGCCAGCTCTGCGCGCGTGTGCGGGCAGGGCGATGTAAGCAGACCCCTGTGCGCAAGGGATGTCTGTTCAGTTAAAAACAAAATAAACCGCGTTTTTATCAGAAGAAAACCCCACCGCCTTTTTAGAGTCTACCGTGTCTTGGAAATGGGAAGTATGACCTTATTGAGGTTTAGTATATTTACTCCAAATCTTTAGAATGACATTTTTCTTTTAAATTAAAGCAAAGCCCTGAAGGGGCTCTAGAGACAGTATTGGACAGCATGGGGGAATAGGTTTGTAAACAATAGCAACATGAACGTACAGTGTCTGTTTTCAAGTTGTTTGCTTATATGGGAAACCTGTCATGCTTTCCTTGAACTGATGGTCTAGCAGCAGTGGTCTGAGGACACAGAGCGGTTCTGCCTACCTCCCACCACCTGTCTAAAGAAAATCAAAGGAAGCGATTAGCCTGGTATTATTTAAGACTTGTTAGTTTATGTACAGTCTCACTCTGCCTTCCACTTCTTAAATAGGAAGCGTTGGTTGTGAGGTGCAGAAAGGCTCTTCCACAAAGCCAAGTGTAAGAGTACACTACAATGTATTTACTGGATTCACTTTTCTTCAAAAAGGACCGGGACCATCTGGAGACTCAAACACGGCAGTAACTCCCGTTACAGATGGCTGTGTTAAAGATCTTGAAAGACACTATTCATGTAAGGTATCTGTCCTGGCTTCCAAGATGCAGAGCATCACCACTCCGAGGAAGGCTGGTAAGAAAGGGGTTTAAATCCCCTAAAAACCAGCCCCCCTGTACTTAGTTTTTTTCCATGTATGTAATAACTAGAAAAGTAATTTCCTTTATAATAAGTAAAACTTACTGTTAGGTTGGGTTAATCACAGCAGTGAGAATTCACTGGTGTACCTGTGCAAGAGTTTTGGGGATTATTTTTGGTGAAGGAAAACAAATAATTCCTTTTGGCACTCATTAATTAGGAGTTTGAGGGTGTTTCTGATGTGCATTTTATCTTCTACAGATTTCTCAGAGCACTAAAAGGCATTTTATATTTTCAGTAACTTTCCTGTGACTTTAAGATTTAAATCCTCTTATAGATTTCTTTTTTCCCAGAAGCTCTGTAAAGCACAGAGATGCAATAATTGTAATTCTTTCTTAAAGCGTTTTAAGAACCACCACCCTCAAAGCAGCTATAGCCACGGGCAACACCAAGTCCCCATTTGCTGTCGGCTCAGCTGTGTCTCAGCCCTACTTACTTCTAGTGCCCTTCCCCGCGGTTTCCAGGCGCGCAGGGACCTCCTCTGCGCAGACCACCGTCTGTCTGCTCCTTCACACTTTCTGGAGCGCTGACTTTCTCTCCCCCCCCCCCCCGAAAGCTTACGCCAGGCTGCCGTAAGGCGGCGGAATCCCCAGGTGAGTCGGAGCGGGGCCAGGCCCCGGCACGGGGTGACGAGCTGCGCACCGGCCGCGGCGCGGGGCGGCTCTGGCCGAAGCCCCGGCGCTGCCGCAGCACGCCATGGACACCCGCTGCGAGGGGCACGGCCGGCCGCCCTCCCAGCGCCGGGCTGCTGTTTCTGGGCCCAAGAAGAAAGAGTGAAAAGCATTCACATGTGCTCATTTCACTGTGCAGCTCTTGGGAACGGTGAAAGCAGCCGAGCAGGGATTGCTCACGGCAGAAAAAAATCCACATAGAAGAGCGGGCGTGCGAGGGAAGAGGAGCAGAGGCTGACTTACGCCTTTGCGAGGAGCTCCTGGGTGCGCGGTGAGTGTGGGGAGGACGCGGGGCCCCGCCAGCGCTGTGTTTTCGGGCCCTGCCAGGCGCACGCGTGGCGCAGGAGAACTGGAGGTCCTGCCGGCAGCACCACCCGGCTCCCCCACACCCCAGGGCTCCTGCAGCACTGGCGTCTCGCCGGGTCAGAGCCAAAGCCCTCCCAGTCCCATAACCGATCTGCGGTGCGTGCCTCAGCCATTGCAAACCTCACCAGCACCCCTCCTTCCCCAGGCCACGGCTGTGAAGAGCACAACATCAACCACAGGAGTAGTACTAGGAGGAATTTTTGGAAATGCCGTTTTCTTAACTGGTTGACATGTACTAGCTGCCTTCCTATTATATTTAGAGAATGCTGAACTGGAGAAGTGTCTTACAGCTGAGACACCTGAACCAGAACTTGCCCCAGAGATGCAGAGATCACTATTCAGTTCTCCCGGGGGCGCAAGGGGTGGGGGCTGTTCTTAGACACACTTCTCTTTGTCGGTGCTTACTCCTCTACCCATGGAGAAAGCAAACCTCACGGGGTGAAGGAGCCAGTCCCATCAACGAAGGGCTTAAGAAACCTTTGTTTTCAAGTGGGTAAAGTCTGACAGGTAAAGTTAGGAATGCCTTCTCTTCACAGGGAAGGGTCTGTAGGCTTCCCGTTCCTTCTCTCACACTTAGTTTACCCGTAACACGTAGGGATGAGCAGGCGGGAGCAGAGCTGCGCCCCGGAGCGCTGCGAGGGCCCTGGCCCGGGGAGCCACCCCAGCCTGGATGTGTCCGTTTCGCTTAGGACGAGCGGGGGAACACCAGCTGCCACGGCTGAGCCCGCCGAGACGCCTCAGAAAATGAGAACGGGGCCAGCATTCCAGCCCAAGGCCGGCCCTGGCTGGCGCTGCTCCCCCGGGCTCGCCCCGGCCCCGGCTGCGGGGCGGCTGGCTGCCGCGGTGGGCACCGGGGACCCAAGTCGCTCCCGCGTGAGGGGGAGCGAGGAAGCGGCACCGGCAGCCGCCCCGGCCCCCGACCGCAGGAACGGGCACGGAGGGTTGGCTCCAGAGGAGCCGTGACTCCCTGCGCGTCCTCCGCGGGCTGGCCGGGAAAGCTGCTGCTCGGCGCTGGCTCTCCCGGGCAGGGGCAGCGAGTGCCCGCACCGGCCCCGTGCCCGCACCGGCCCCTGCCCGCACCGGCCCCGTCGGTCCCAGCGCCCGCCCGAGCGCGGCTCTCCCCTCGCCGCTGATGGCTCTGCGTTTTGAAACTTCCTTCTCCTATTCCACATCAGCGACGGCTCCAGCAGTTCCTGCCTCCGTCCCTCCATCACTCCTCCCTGTGGTTTTAAAGTGCTTTTGGTATTACGGAGGTAGGAGCACCCAGGGGTTCCAGGAAGAGGTGAAAAGGACCCGCTCGGCATCGCCTGCCTGTACGTATCTGCCACCCCGGCAAACGTCTATCAGGAAGGATACACGCTTCAGAGCAGTTCACCTAGTTCTTTTAAATAGAAAACCCACTTTAAAAAAAGTGAGACTGAAATGTTTTAATCTGAATACTTGAAATAGTACCAAGACAGAACAGACTTGAAAAAAGAGTAATTCAGATGTAATTACTGACCTGACAGCTTAGCAGCCCCTGCCCTTCTGAAGGAGGGCTGCAGAGAACTAATGGGAGAGGCACAGACAGAATTTCTGCTACCCCCGTAAACCACTTTTTAAAGACTGAGCATCAGCATATGTTAATCTAACTGGGGGGGGGAAGTCTAGCCTTTGTATCTACTGATTATGCCAAATACTAGGACAAAATTTAGAGCAGGATTTTCAGTGAATTAGAAAGGATCGTTAGAAGTTTTGCTTTTAAAGGCTGGTGGCACTCCGACCATCTTATTTCACTTTAGAAACCTGCAGAACCATGAAAGAGGGCCAGCAAGCACCTCCTTTTCTGTTCTGTGTTTATGATGGGGAAGAAATAAAGGGAGGAAGGGGACACGGGCCCGCAGAAAATGAAGCTGCAGAGCTCCAGCTCTGGTGTCTGCAGCGGCTCCGGGCGAGTCCCACGTGCTGGTGCGGGAGGAGACGCCTCGGGTACCTTCAGCGAGGGCGTTTTTGTAAATGCCAAGAAACCATCACCTTCTGCAAGCTCCCAAGTGAAACTGCTACTGCTTACGCTGGACGGACCTCGGAAAGCTCCTGCAAGCCTTCCCGTAAGCCGCGACGTTTCTGTACCAGCCCAGCGGCGAAGGCGAGGCAGGAACCCGTGGGGAAATCCTGCTCAGCGTGCAACCCCGAGGCCGGCAGACGTGACGCCGTACCCACCGCCCCAGCTGGCTCCCGGGGGTGTCGGCGGCGAGGGGTTATTTAGCATTTCGGGCGGCGGGAGGGTCGCGCGATGCTCTGCCGGTAAAAATAAAACCCGCGAGAGAACGCGCCGATCCCGGGCTGCGGTTACGCCCGCCGGGGGAAGCTTTTCCGCCGTGCTTCGGGCAAGCTGACGACACCCCAAGTTTTCCGCTGGGCTCTGAGCGTCGCGCCGCACCCTAACAACGGGTCTCGTGGGGGGAGCAAGGGGGCAGGGGGAGGGGGCGGGGGGCTCCCCACGCCGCTGCCGACCCCCCCTTACCTTGCAGGGGAAGAGCACGGCCGAGGCCACCTTCTCCATGGCCAGGTTGCGGATGCTGGGGGTGAGGGAGCCCCGGCAGGTGGGGCAGAGGCTCAGCTTCTGCCGGCATTGGTTGCAGACCAGGTGCCCGGCCTGGCACTGCAGGATGGGCGGCAGCACGTAGTCGAAGCAGACGGGGCACTCGAAGAGCGAGGTCAGTTCGTGATGCTGCTGCGGCGGCGGCGGGGGGGGGGGGAGGCGGGGGGGGAGGCGGCGGCGGCGGGGGGGGGCGGCGGAGACGCCCCGCCGGGCCCCGGGAGGACGGCGGCGGGGGAGGCGGCGTGCTGCTGCTTGGCGCAGGGCTTACCGGCGCCGGGGCCGGCGGAGGACGGGCGGCTCATCGCGGCGCCACCGGGAGCGGGGGGGGGGGGGGGGGGGGGGGCGGGGGGGGCGCGGCGGGGCCCAGCGGCGGCTGCGCGCGGCCTCCGCCCCGCTCCCGGCATGCGCCGGGGGGCGGGGCCTGGCCGGGGGGGCGGGGTCTCCGGGGGGCGGGGTCTCCGGGGGGCGGGGTCTCTCCGGGGGGTTGCCCTGGGAAACGGAGCTGTCCGCGGTAATTCAACACCCGGCGCTCGCCGCCGTAATTAGCAACGTATCATCGTCGTCACCATCACCATCGCAGAACGGGTCTGGGTGGGAAAAGGACCTTGAAGCCCCTCCAGCGCCGCCGCCGCGCGCAGGGGCTCCTCCCGCCAGCCCAGGGTGCTCCCAGCCCCGTCCCGGAGCACCGTGAGCTTCATCGCGGCCAAGGGCGAGGGCCTGCCCGGGGGTCGGGGCGATCCCAGCACAGACCCAGGCTGGGCCCTCGAGGGGCGGCTGGGGAGCAGCCCCGAGGAGAGGGGCTGGGGGGGCTGGGGGGGGAAAACTGCCCGTGAGGCAGCCCCGTGCGCTGGCAGCCCAGAACCCACCCGTGCCCTGGGCTGCAGCCAGAGCAGGGGGGGCAGCAGGGCCAGGGGGGGGATTGTCCCCCTCTGCTCCGCTCTGGGGAGACCCCCCTGCAGTGCTGAGGCCAGCTCGGGGGCCCCCAACAGCAGAAGGACCCGGAGCTGCTCGAGCGGGGCCAGAGGAGGCCACGGAGATGCTGGGGGGGCTGGAGCAGCTCCCCTGGGGGGCCGGGCTGAGAGAGTTGGGGGGGTTCAGCCTGGAGAAGAGAAGGCTCCAGGGAGCCCTTCGAGCGGCCTCCCAGGGCTTAAAGGGGGGACAGGAGAGGTGGGGAGGGACTCTGGGTCAGGGGGTGGGGATGGGATGAGGGGGAAGGGTTTTAAGCTGAAAAAGGGCAGATTTAGATGAGATTTAAGGCAGAAATTGTTCCCTGTGCGGGGGGTGAGGCACTGGCCCAGGGTGCCCAGAGCAGCTGTGGGTGCCCCCTCCCTGGAAGGGTTCCAGGCCAGGTTGGACGGGGCTGGGAGCACCCTGGGCTGGGGGAAGGGGGCCCTGCCCGGGGCAGGGGGGGGCACTGGGGGGGCTTTGTGGTCCCTTCCCACCCAACCCATTCTGTGATTGTATGATCATGATCAGCAGTAATTAAGCACGTATCGTTGTCAGCGGTAATTAAGCTCGTATGATTCCATACCCAAACCCTTTTAGCAAAAGGAAGGTGCCGGCGGCGGTGACTGGTCCGCGCCCTGGGGGGGCGGTTGGGGGGGTGCGAGGAACGTCTCCTCTCACGGGCTGCACTCGGCTTCTTGGCGCGTGGGCCATCGCGGCGCAGGACGTCACCCGCCGGCATGGGCGCGGTGGGACGGGACCGGGGTAACTGAGGTGACTCCTGCAAATGCAAACCTGTTAGGAGAGCTGGGCACCAGCCGGTGTGATGCTTACGGGGGGGCTGCAGTAGTGAAAATGTGAAAAAGAACAACAATAGGTGTTTTGGGCTGCTCTAAAACATTGTTTAAAATGAGATATTTTCTTAGTTCTGGTTTCACATGTGGGGACCAGACAAGGAAAGGAGTTGGGCTGTTTTCATTTCCCAGATAAAAGAAGTTTGGGAAACAAATGCGATACTTTAAACATCTTCTGTTCCAGTAACACTGGAGAAGTGAAGATGTGGAAGTCTCAGGACAGAAATCTTCCCAAATCCCTTTCCTATTGAAGGAAGATGAGGAATCAAGACGAGTGTTTTCTTGTAGGCGGTGAAGTCATTGTTATATAGGAGTATTTGTATATAGGTTTATTGTTCAATATTCATCTGGCCCCTGGGGTGCCGTGGCTCTCCTTGCTCTGGCCATAAGTGCAATTCTCACCTCTTTTGTACAAAACCCTGCCCGGTGCCCCTGTGCAGCACATCCAATCAGGGTGACAGAAATGAGCTTCATCATATGAGGTTATTTCCCATCAGCAAAATGGGCAAGATTTTCTCAAAATATATTATTTTCCCAAGAATTCTTGTCGTGGTTTAAAGCCAGCCGGCAGCCCAACACCGCGCAGCCCCCCCCCGGGGAATGGGGGAGAGAGTTGGAGGGGTAAGGAGGCTCATAGGCTGAGATAAAACGAATTTAATAATTGAAATAAAATAAAAATAATTATGTTAATAATAATAGTAATAACAGAAAATACAAATGAGTACTGCACAATGTGATTGCTTACCGCCCACTGACCGACGGCCAGCCCGCTCCCGGCCAGCGATCCCGGGGAAGGGAGAATCCTGAAACCGCAGTCCGGGAATGCAGAGCGAGCTTCCCGATCAACCCTTATCTGTACACGGAGCGTGACGCTAGAGGATACGGAATATTCCATTGGCCAGTTTGGGGCCGTTGTTTTGGCTATGCTCCCCCCAGCTTCTTGTTTACCTGCTCACTAGCAGGACATGAGAAGTTGAAAAGTCCTTGATTTCTTAGCAACAACTAAAAACATCAGTGTATTATCAACATTCTTCTCATACCAAATCCCGTACCAAATCCAAAACACAGCACTAGTCTAGTTACTAAGAAGGAAGGAAAAAAAATAAAATTAGCTCTATCCCAGCCGAAACCAGGACAGTTCTCCCTGCAATTTGTTCTGAGGCTTCTTGTCCTTAAACGAGCAATACTTTCTCCCGACATACCCACATTGAGCATTTTTAATACTTCACTAAAGTGGTGTTATTATCGAGGATCCATTAGGATGTGCAGCCGTGTGACTCATTCTTGACTCCAGGCCTTGGAAACTTTTCAGTTAAGGCTCTATCTGTACTCAACTTCCATTAAATTAAGCTGCCTTATTAGCTGAAATCTGATTTTTTTCATATCTTCGCAAAGCTCCATTAAACCTTGCAAGATGGCACAGGCCAAGAAATGAGAAAAAATCCTTTTGAGTACCGTTCTCCTGACAGTGCTTTACAGGTTGTTTTCCTTTGCTATTTTGAGAAATCATTCAATAATGCACTGTGCATCCGAGTGTAATGAAAAGGCCTTGCACTTTATAAGGCACAAAGTAACAAGACCATAGGGTGGACCACACCAGGAGAGCTTTCACTGGGAAAGCACAAGTGGGAATGAGCACCCAAAGTCTGGATGAATCTGTATAGGAGCCAATGCACTGAATGAAGCCTGTGACAGTCACCTCTCCATAATCCCTAGAAAAGGAAAGATTTGCGAGTTACGCTGAGTAATTTAAAAGCAAAACAAAACCAAAAAAGCCCACTCTCAAATAACGGCAGTATTTTGGCATCTTGGAATAAAATTGTGCTTAAAATCTTCACCAATGGCTTACCAAGCCAATTCCAGTTCAAACTGAATTCACAACAGAAATGCAAACCCTTGACAACTAACTGCTGGGAAAAGAAAAGTTGAGTAGATTTAAACAAGGTATGATAGAGATGTTTGTACCATTTTCTCTAGAAATTATATGGCCATACAATATATAGACTAAAAAAGGCCACTGAGTTACTAAGATTTTGAGAAATTTCCCTCTTTCTTTTTTATTTATAGTTTATATCAAAGCAAAAGAGAGAACTTGGATAAAAGCTGTTGAGAAACTTTGCGACAGGCATATGAGCGTGCCTTTTGAGACCGGAGAATCAGAGTTAATAGGCCCTGAGATCCTGGTCTCCATCCTGGAGTGCTGAGCACTTTCCCCCGCTGGTCCCGCAGCCCAGTGTGAAAACAAGGCCAGAATAGTCCTGTGGCCCTGGAGAAGACCTCTCACTTGGTTTGTGGTTTATTAGATATTCTGTGGTATGGGGAAGAGGGAAAATAAGAGCCTTTTCACAGACTGGAACGGTGTCGATATTTATACAAAGAAAATGTGTTTTTTCTGTGCTTTCAATAATAGAGAGTAATTTAAAAATATGTTATTTAAGCTATATATTTATATATATATTTTTTTTAAATGTCAGAATATGGCTATCCCACTTTTTTTTTTTTTTTTTTAGCAGCCCCAAAGAGTTGTCTTACATGAGTAATGTACAAAATAGCTTTTAGAAGGTTGGTGTCTGGTTTAAAGATAGCCTGAATAGAGTCCAGTTCTTCTGCTTGGGATAATTGGGAAAGCACAAGTCAGACCCTGAGCTGGCCGAGGAAGTGCCAGAAGGGTGAGAGGCTGCCACTGGCTTCCCAGCTACCGATCCGCTGCTAACAGGGACACCAGTCCCCGGAGAAAACCGTAGCCTGGCTCCCCGCAGCGCCGCAGGTTGCCATGTCTACGCCGTAGGAATAAGCGTTTGCAGCAAAAAGATGATTTGGAAACAAGCGGTAAACAGAGAAATGAGCTCTGCTTGTCCCCTCTGCCTGCGGCCTCAAAAGCCGTGTCACGCAGCTGATCCCGCGTCCCCCTTGCGCGACTCCCTCGGAGGTGCAGACCTGCAGCCCAGGGCCCCCACAGCGCGTGTTTCCTCCCGGTCGTCGCCCCGTGCAGGGTGCTAGAACGTGGCATGAGTTTCAGTTGTGCGTGTCTGGATTTGTTGCTTGCGTTCCTTGCCGGGTAGCCCCTGATCCCCCCAACTATTCCTCTATTCCAGGGCATGCCAGCACCCCTGGGTATCTGTGGGAGCGTGGGGGGGAGCTGCAAGGCTTATTTGTCTTCCGCAAAGACATTTCCAGACTAGAAGGAAAAATCTGTAGCCGTTGTCCCTGTCATGAGGACAGAGCTTTCTGAGGTGCCAGAGCTGGGGGGGGTTTTCAGACAAGTTTGACTAATAGCCAGATTGTGTCATTATTCCTTCTTATTTGTAAAGCATCCCCAGGTGTGATGTAACCGCGCAGAAATGAGCAAGGACTTTGTTCTCACTGAGGTGCATCAGCAGCTTAAATTTAGCCCCGCACTGCAGGAAGGTTGTAAAAAGACATGGAGATGTGGGGGCAGAAGGATGAAAGCCCGAGGGAGGCGGCGGGGGCCTCTGTTCCTGCAGCCTGGGGCCTCCTGGCTTCGCTTCCTTCTGTCTGCCGCGATCGGACGGGCGTTTGCTGTGGGATGGGGAACGGAGGGATGGGGAATGGAGGGATGGGGAGCGGAGGGATGGGGAGTGGAGGGATGGGGAATGGAGGGATGGGGACGGAGGGATGGGGAATGGAGGGATGGGGAATGGAGGGATGGGGAGCGGAGGGATGGGGAGTGGAGGGATGGGGAACGGAGGGATGGGGAGTGGAGGGATGGGGAGTGGAGGGATGGGGAGTGGAGGGATGGGGGACGGAGGGATGGGGGATGGAGGGATGGGGAGTGGAGGGATGGGGGACGGAGGGATGGGGAATGGAGGGATGGGGAATGGAGGGATGGGGAATGGAGGGATGGGGAGTGGAGGGATGTGGGATCTGGGGATGGGGAGTGGCGGGATGGGGGATCTGGGGACGGCGGTGTGGCCGAAGGGCCGGGGGCTGCTGCTCCTGACGCCCCGTCCCCCCACCCGTGCCCGTGGCCAGAGTCACCAGTGTGGTTATGGCTGGGGGGCCCGGCAGCCCCCAGCCCTTTGGGTCTTTGCGCCCTTTTATCTCCGTAATAACCCGTTTAGCCATTACACAGTGAATGTAGCCTGGCAATATACCGTGCTGTGCTGGGTGACTGAGCTTCGTTAGTGTCTACCGCACAGTTTCATTCATTCATTATTAATTCATTATTTGCATAAGCGCATGCTGGTATTCCCCAGCTAAAATAACTGCTGTCTTGCAGCACCTCATTGCACAGCCGCTGCCTCTGCGTGGGCTCCTCTGCACCCCCTTGTCCTCTGCTGAACCCCCCGGCTCCGGCTTGTGCTGGCAGCCCGGCAGCCGGCTGTGGGGGTGGCTGTCTCGCCAGTGCCCCCCCCCCGTTTTTGGGTGCTCCCAGCCCTGCCCCAGGCCCATTGGCGCGGTGGCACGCCTGTCACGGTGTCACCGGGGCCGCAGCGCTTCGGCTGACCGGCAGCCCTGCAGCGGGGACACTGAAATGAGCAGAAATTGGAGATGGGGGGCAATGACAAGCGCAGCCCCCGCATCAGCTTGTTAGCCAGCGGGGTCCTCGCCCCCAGCCAGCCTGAATCTCAGGCTGGTTGTGCCCACTTCTTTTTTTTTTTTTTTTTTTTTTTTTTTAAATTTAAATCATTTAAACTAGACTGCTGGATGAGTTGCAGAAAGGTTTATTGTTCTCCGTACAGTTGTCACTAGCAACACACATTTCGGTATGACTAATAGGTCTTTTTTTGGGTGATGTCTATAAAAAAGGAAGCGGAAAGCGGTTAACACAAGCAAGGAGCGATGTGCCCTGCTCGCCGAGGTGCCGCAGGGTGCCAGGACTCGGCCGCGCTCGGAGTCAGTGACTGCCCAGCAGCGAGCCCCTCATGAGAGCTCCTTTTGCCCCGGTCCCCACGGGCGAGCTGCCCTCCCCGCGGGTGCGCGGGGTGCAGGGCAGCCCCCTGAGCCAGCCCGGCCGGGGTCCACGCTCGAGCTGGTGCTGAAGCGGGAGGGAGACGCGGCTGCAGAGGTCACAGATGGAGAGAGCTGGGAGGAAACTTTACTCGTTGCAAACAGCTAAATTAGTTGCACGGACTGGATTAAATAAATCAGGTGCACACAATATTGCTAACGGCCAACATGGATTTCACGTCCACTGCACTCTTAAGAGAAACCCCGATTTCTGTAACATCTCCGCCTGGCGTGGGAGGAAAGCTGCCGTGGGGAGCTGAAGAACCTGCACCCTCGCGCCTGGAAATGTGTGCAGTGAGGCAGGGCCGCGGGCGCCCGCTCTGCACCGGGGCAGGCTTTCCCGGTGGGTCCAGCACCGTTTCAGAAGGGGTCTGTCCTGTTCCAGCTGACGGTCGCGCCTGCCCACTTGGTCCTGATGGCCACCTCCACGGGCGGACGCCTCTGCCCTGGGTCCCCACCGCGCTCCCCCTCCTCCTCCTCCTCCCAGGGATGCAAATGAGTGTCTGAAAAGGAAACGCAGTAAAAAAAAAAAAAAAAAAAAAATCTAAAAAAACCCCAACCCCCCCTCAGAAAAGTTTTAGAAACGGCGAAAGGCAGAAGCGGCTGGATTGCCGCAGGTGTGCTGCCCACCTGCCCCAGGAGGGAGCGCGGGGCAGCGCCGACTCGGCCTCCCCGGGCTGGTGGGGGCTGCCCCCCGCACCGTGCGGGACCCCCCGGGGAAATTCAGGCACTATAAATGCAGCTCTCCGCTCCTCGCAGGGTACGTTTGCATATTGTTTTTCTGAGCAGATGTGCACGTCCTCATCTGCGGCCACGCTGCGTATCACGACCGTGAATCTCGATTCACCCTGCTTTCCTGCAAATTTCGCCTGGAGTGTGGTGTTGTCAAGTTTCTTACTTTGAATGCCGCAGTGAAGGGAGAGCGAGGAAAAGGGGCCGGGCACTCAGAATGTGAAGGTAAACGGTGCACAGTGGCACAGAGAAACGAGAAACCTGCATCCTAAGCGTGCAGCCTGGTCTGCAACTGCTTTGATGCTACAAGGAGCAGTTCACTCCTCCTGGTATGGATTTAAAACTCGAGGGGGAACACAAGGGCCGCGGTGGCACCTGGCTGCTGGGCAGGAAAATATGAACTCCGGTCTAAGTTCAAATCTGAAAGCAGGCTGTTAACTCGTCCTGCACGCCAGCGCTGCTGCATTAGAAGTTGGCTTATTCAAACTTTTGAATTAATCGTGAAGCGATTCTGCTTCCTGGTGTATTTAAACTTTGCACTTGCAGGAACATCCTCTCCTGGGATTTGTCCCGTGGGAGGGGTGGGCGCCTGTGGGTTTCCCTGCTCCTACTAGTTGTTCTAGGACACTTAGGCAGTGGGGCATTCGTATGGGACTGGTGGGGCGTTAATAGCAAAGCCAGATTAGGTGAAATACGGTTTCAAACAGGGCGTCCGTGTTGAGTATTTAACAGAGAAGCGACAGTCGCATCTTGTACCCTGAAAAACTGTCACTTCTCCAGTAACAGCTCTTTGGCTGCAGCTGGGAGCCGGGGGGGAAGCGGCGCAGCCCCGAGTGGCCCCTGTGCCGGGCAGGGACCGCGGGCTGCGCGCCCGGGGAGGTGAGGCCGGTGGCTCCCTGGCTCCTCCGCCCGCCGGAGCCCCGCTCAGCCCCCGGCCCCGGAGAGCAGCGCGGCCGCGGCCTCGCGCGGTGCTGAGCACCCGCCGTGCCCCGCAACCAGCTGTGGGCTTGGGGGTGTCAGCGCCCCGGCGTTTGGCAGGCACCGAGGAGCTGGCCCCCCCAGAGAAAAGGCTCCTACAGCTTCGCCAGCAACGGGCCACCAGCTTGAGAGCGTTACCCCTTCCGAAATGGCCACGGCCCTTTCGAAGCCAGGGTTCTCTTTGTGTTGTTTCACACCATTGTTTGGAGCGGGCTCCTCGCGTTCTGGGACAGGTTAATGTTATAAACAGCCTGCGTATGTACATTAAACACAGAACATGGAACTCTACGTGTAAGACCCACCTGGCCACACACATACAGGCGTCTATGCACAGTCGGTATGTGACACCCATACCCGGTGTGGTGCCCCGTGAGCTCGGGTGCATACCTATTGTTAAGTGGGCTGTCTTTGCCTGCCTGCTGTAGAAGTACAGGTGGAAGACTCTCTCCCTTCTCCAGTCGGAGAGGAGCCGGCCGCCGGTGCCGAGGAGGACACCGTGCCTGCCGCTGAGGCCGCACAGCCAGGCGGGCAGCCGGGGCGTCCGCAGCCCCGGGATCTCACGGCTCCTCGGTGCCCGGGGCACGGACAGTCGGTGTGGGGGCGGCCGGTGTGGGGATGGTCAGTGAAGGGATGGCCAGCGTGGGGATGCCCAGCGTGGGGATGGCTGGTGTGGGGATGGCTGGTGTGGGCACGGCTGGTGTGGGCACGGCCGGTGTGGGCACGGCCGGTGTGGGGATGGCTGGTGTGGACCCAGCAGCCGCGTCCCCGCCACGCTCACCTGCCTCTCTGCCCGCGCCCCGCCGCAGGGCAGGTAGCCCACCGCGCCCCTCTGCTGCTCGCTGGCCCCGCCGCAGGGCAGGCAGCCCACCGCGCCCCTCTGCTGCTCGCTGGCCCCGCCGCAGGGCAGGCAGCCCACCGGGCCCCGCCGCAGGGCAGGCAGCCCACGGGGCCCCGCCGCTGCTCGCCGGCCCCGCCGCCGGGACGCGGCTCCCGGCCGCCGCCAAGCTCGTGCGGCCCCGCTCGGCCCGTGAGGAGGAGGCTGAGCACGGCTGCCGGGAAACAGCCCCGGTCGCGCCACGGGCAGCAGGCAAAGCCCTCGGCAGGACGGCGGCCGGTGGCCGCTCCCAGCTCGGCCGTGCTGGTCACGGGCAGAGGAACGCCAGACTGCCCCTGCTTTTGTTGTTATTGCTGTTGTTAGTAGTATTATTATTATTATTATTATCATCATCATCACCCATTTTTTAAATGGACAGTCACGATTAGAATTTGCAAAATAATTTTCTGTGGCCCTATGCTTTTTCTTTTTTTCATTGGATTAACAAGTGAGAATTTTTTCCTAAATGAAATGTGGGAATAATAAAAAAAGAAAACTTGAGAAATGAGGCTAATCATACCTGCGTACAGGTGATGTTTCCAAAACTGGATTTTAACAGAGGAGTTGCTGTGCTGCCTAAATCTTCTCGGACCCCGCAGGACGAAGCACAGAGGGTTACGGTAGCGCCCGGCTCGGTGCCCGGGGTGGTCGCGGTACATCCCGGGCTGATTAACAAGAAGCAGGAAGAAATTCCATAGACTGGCTTATCCGTCATTGCTGTTGGCACAGCAGTGCTCTCCTCACACAGCAGTTTTGTGCTCAGCTGGGGCGCTGGCACTTCAGATCCGTTCCTGCTAAAATTCAGGTTTCGGGCCGTTTCACACCCCCTGGGGAGGCAGCCGCGGTTCCCTCGCCGCGATCACCGAGGAGAGGCCTCTGGCACACCCGGGCACAGCCCAACACGACTGCTGGAACTAGTGGTGCGGTTTTCTGCTAAATAGCTATCACAGTGCCCCATTCACAGGAATCACGTTTTATATGGGTATAAATACGCCTCGACCTTTCTCAAGCATCCTTACCCACAGCTAGTTACACGGGGTTTGGAAAGGCCGCACCCGTCACCTCTGCCAGCACGGTCATGCTGGCAGAATTCTTCCGTGTTTAAATAAATTTCTTGTGATTTTCCCGCTGAAGTTGAACTGACAGAGACAGTGACTTTCGCTGTCCGTGGGGTAACTCCCGGTTTCACACAGTGCGTTATTTTTGCTGCATGTGTGAAGGGTTTCTCCCCTCTCTGCTGCCCAGGCGGATACTCGGGGTGTACAATACCCGCACCCCTAAAACACAGCCAGCGCGTCTGCATCTGCCTCTCGGACAGCTGCCTCTCCACATTCGACTAGGAATGGACATTTGAGTAAAACAAGGAAAAGACCATTTCAGAAGACGTAACTAACCTAGAGGAGAATGTTTGAAAAATGCAATATACCTTTCAAGCGTCCTGGAGAAAAGTAAACTGTATAAAAACAGGATCACTCCGTTACTTCCTTCGTCTTTGAACTGGAAAAAGAAATTAGTAATCACAGGGGAGGAATTATGGCAGGTATATGGGTTTGAATTAAAGCAATTCCTCTGCTTAAATACAAACTTGTGTGTTGAGCCAAACGAGTAAGGTGTTATTCTGGGAAGATTTTGTAAGTATTTTTGCTGAACAGGATCAGGTAAGAAAAAAAAGAAAGAAGAAACTTCCAGATATTGGCTAAACTGGTTTCATACACATTTTTTTCTCACATTTTTGCTAAAGTTGCAAGGAACCATATTTTGTATTTGAGTAATGCACAGAATGCTGCCCCTGTTTACGCAGCGTTTGTGGAGCGAGAGTGCTGACTTCGCGGTTCCAGCCCCAGGGCTTTCGGTGGGAGCAGGGTCACTGCCCGTAGGAAAGGGCAGAGAGGATCCAGGAACCAACTGCACGGTAAGAGCCTGAGCGTCCTGCCACGGGGGATGCTGCTGATCTCCAAAAGGTCCACTTCTGGGTGGGAGATGTAAGCGAGCAACAGAATCATTCAGAATAAAGCAAATATCCTGTACTTACGGAGTTTATGTGGCCGAGGATGAACTCCTGAGCTGCTGCTTTCTCAGAGAACTCAAACAGTTGGATCTGTTGGGCACGAGGGTAGGGGGTGGGAGGTGTTGTAAAGGAGACATGAATTCTATCCAAAAGCCGAGCTTTTTAATGAGAGAATAATGCCAGAGCCTATAGGCCCCCTCCTAAACCGAGGGGCTCAGCTGTACACACAGAGCCGGGGGAGCAGCCCCAGGGGAGCCGCCTGGCGCTCTGGGCAGGGGAACGGGGGTCGCGCTTCAAGGAAAGGGGGGGGCCGGCTCTGGCCTCGCCCAAAGCCCCTGCGAGGAGGCACAAGTGTCTTTCGGGGCCGTGGGGCTGACGGGCTCGCAGTGCGTGGCGCACCGGAGTTAGGGAGCGGGTGCACGCGGTTCGGCGCGACTCGCCCGTGGAAGCCCCAGCCCCGCGAAGGACGCGGGTGCGGGAGGCGCGGCCGCTCTCGCCCGTTCCACGGCGCCCTGGGCTCCGCGCAGGCAGACGGCGGCTCCCCCCGCGGCTCCTCTCCCCGCGGCTCCCCCCGCGGCTCCCCCCGCGGCTCCCCCCGCTGCCCGCAGCCCCTCGGTCTCACTCTGTCCAGGAGTGCCGTGGGGGGTCTCACCCCGTCCAGGGGTGCCGTGGGGGGGTCTCACCCTGTCCAGGGGTGCCGGGGGGGGGTCTCACCCCGTCCAGGAGTGCCATGGGGGGGGTCTCGCCCCGTCCAGGGGTGCCGTGGGGGGTCTCACCCCATCCAGGGGTGCCGTGGGGGTGTCCCGGTGCCACGGGCTGAGCCCTGCCCTCCCCTTCGCAGCGCGCCCGGGGCCAGCATCGGCCGGCAGCCTGGGGAGGCCGTGACCGCGGTGCCAGGGACCGGGACGAGGCAGCAGAAACGGTTTTGGTGGGGAAAAGCCTTGCCCGGGAGTCAGGCGAGGCTTTTCTCCTGGGTGCAAATCCCCGCCTATAGCTGCAAACCTGAACTTGGGTCTAGTTTGGTTAAACCTAGGGGCGGGGGCTAGGCTGTCTTACCGCAAATAACGCACGGAAACGGCTTTCACAGGCAGGGTCGGCTTCTTACCTGTCCAGGTGAGTGTATTCTGTGTTTCTTATGAAGAGCAGGTAGGCGATGATGTGCACTTGAACAGCCATCAGAATGGCTCTTGTTCCCCCCTAGAAACAGACAGACAACCCCCCTGTGCTGAGGAGCCTGAACCGGCACATGCCGCGCCGACCTCCTGGAAATCCCCGCAATCCCCGCCCGGTGGGCGCCCACCCACTGGCAGTGGCAAGGGGGTAATTCCTCCGTGGGAATTCGGAGGCGCTGCTGACGACTCCTAAGATAAATGGAAAAGCAAATTCAAAAAGATTTTAGGTGCCTAAACCCAAGAAGCCTTTACGCAAGAGAAGGCTCGGGGCGGCCCTGGCTGCGCGCTCGCGGTGGGGAGGTCACGGGCAGGGGTTGCAGCCGCAGGGAAGGGCTCTGGCCTCCACGTACCACCCGTGCTTAGAAGCACCAGGGCTTTTTTTTTTCCTCTCCTCCAGCCCCGCAGCAAAGGGACTGGGGTCTCGAGGCAGCGCGGGGCTGACATGGGGCTGGGGGTGAGCATGCCTGCTCACCACCGCGCTGGCTGCACACGTCAGGGCTGCCGTCCTCTGCAGTCTCAGAGCCTCTGAAATCAGTTTCACCTGCATTTGTAAAAAGCATTTTAGCCTCCTGGCGGGTTAAGGCTATTTGCAATTTTAGACGTGTATCTCGGTCTTCTGCCTTTTTGGTGGCAATAGCATGATGGTAAATAAGGAAGAAGAAACCCTCCATCTTTCGGATAATGAGAATGTAGATAAATTCACTTATTGGATATCCAGGGAGGGGCAGTAAGACGTAGGTAACTCCAATTCTGAAAAAACCTGGAAAGTACCACTTATTTGTGCCCACCTACAACAACCTGTGCTTTTCTCCTGAGCCTTCTCCCTGGAAGCGTTCGATGCCGCGGTGTTTTGGTGTCTCAGCGTTTCAGCGGCTGCACTGCGGCACCTTCGCTCAGCGCAGAGATGGAGCACGGCTGCTCCAGAGCGAGCTCAGCCGGGCATGGGGTGCAGGGTGTGGGGTGCAGGGTGTGGGGTGCAGGAGTGGGGTGCAGGGTGCAGGGTGCAGGGTGTGGGGTGTAGGAGTGGGGTGCAGGGTGTGGGGTGCAGGGTGTGGGGTGCAGGCATGGGGTGCAGGGTGTGGGGTGCAGGGTATGGGGTGCAGGAGTGGGGTGCAGGGTGTGGGGTGCAGGGTGTGGGGTGCAGGGTGTGGGGTGCAAGCCTGGGGTGCAGGCATGGGGTGCAGGGTGTGGGGTGCAGGGTGTGGGGTGCAGGGTGTGGGGTGCAGTTGTGGGGTGAAGGCATGCAGAGCACGAGGTGCAAACATGGGGTGCAGGCATGCAGAGTGTGGGGTGCGGGCATGCAGAGCACAGGGTGCAGGTGCAGGGTGCAGGTGTGCAGAGAGCGAGGTGCAAGCGTGGGGTGCAGAGCACGGGGTGCAGGTGTGGGGTGCAGGTGTGCAGAGGGCGGGGATGTGGGTAATAACGGGAGGTTGGCGAGGAGGGCTGTAACCAGGCTCAAGCGACTTGCAGCTGGGGTGTTGAAAAACACATCTATCACGCTCATTGTTGTTTGGCCTTGTGTGCTCGGCAAGTGGAACCTCTGCGTGCCGATAACACCGGCCTGGGAGAGGCTCAGGGGCACCTGTAGAACGTCCCTGAGATTCCTGCCCTGCTGGGGCAAAGACCAAAGCGCGGTGGAAAGCTACACCGGTGAAAATCCCGGAGGTGCGGGCGAAAGCAGCAGCTTTGGGATCTCTCCCTCCCGAGCAGGGACCGGGCTCCGCGGGGCCGGCGTCGCCGCTTGCCGGCCTCTGCCCGGGTGCTGCTTCGGGGACTCCCCGGTCACAAGGTAACGAGAATAACTTTACTTTTTGCGTTTCATCCGTGGTTTCGGGGCTGTTCCTGTGTCCTGCCTGTGCTGGCTCACACCTTTGCTGTCGTCGGCAGGATCCAGGGGCAGCCGCGCTGTGGCTGGAACAGGCGTTGGGGACTGGGGAGGCCGTGACGGTGGCTCCCCGTGTTCTGGGGTGGCCGGGTGCTGGGGACTGGCCCCCCCGTGGGCACTTTCCTGGCTAAATTGGCTCCTGGGAAGCCTGGCCTGAGGTCGCTGAGGGGGCGGTGGTTACCCCCAGGCAGCTGGAACTGCACGGGGGTTGCTGTGGAAAGCGGCATCAGATTCTTCTCCCAAGTTAGCAGGGAGTGTGGGATGGATGTTAGCGACCGATCGTAGAGCTCTTCATTGTGAGGTTGTTGCATTATGGAGCGAAACGAGAAAATTGGTAAAGGAAGTCGGGAGTTTACAAGATGCAAAGGCGATCACACAAGAAGTGATCACCGCTCAAGCGGCACGGTGCCGTGGGCTGCAGGGCACTAGAGCGGTTGGTAGCACGTATTGCTAATGGAACAGATGTGGGAAAAGTAAGGTTTTGCTTTCCCAGGTTTGCACTCTCATCGCAAAACCTTCACGGGATCCTGAGCAATAGGATGGAAATGTCTGGAGTGAATCCTACAACTCTGAGGTTGAGTCTGAGTTGGATGTAGAAGTCGGAGGTGGTGGAATCGGGAACAAGCGGACGGGGGAGTGCAGGTCATGCGTACTTACACCCCAAAAGAGTTAAGGGAAATTTTAGAGGTCTGTCAGCAGGAGTGGGGAAGGTATACTGGCGTGGATTCTGTGAGCTTGGGATAGTGGAGCCGCATCTCCCCATTTATTAACGGGTGAAAAAGCTGTATTATACCCTCTAGGCAGTGATAATCACACACAGTGGGGCTACGCTCAGCTGCAAAATACCAGAGGTCCCGATGGGCAAGACGTTACTGTGCCTACGCTACGTCAGTGGCTGCATGCTGCAGGTTATACAGCGTATGCCGTGCCTGTTGAATCAGTGCTGTACCTTGGAAACTGGTGTACGATGGCAGAAGGTATTAATTTGATGTGGCAGGTCGGGCTGGCTCACGCGTTGCTTACAGGATCTGATCCGGGCAGGGTAGCAGTCACGGGAAGCATCACAGGGCAGTTTTTGAGAGGAGTGCCTGCCTCACTGAAAGCCTTGGCTATACCGGCAGTGGGAGACGCCACGGGTGATGCTTGGGTGGCGAATAAAGGGAAGGCAGCAAAACTGGAAGGAGTTACAGCACGGGTGACCAGGGAACAAATGCGCAATGATCTCGTACGAGCCGGTGTCCCATGGTCAGACGTAGCTGGGATTACATCAGAAATGTTTCGCTGATGGCAAAAGTTAGCGTTTACGCAAAAAAAGACAACTGCCCCTGGCCCTGCCACCAACCCCGTGCCCCCCGCTCCACTCCCCAGCCCCCCAGGCAAGGCACTGCCCCGCAAATGCCAAAACAGCAGAAACGATGGTTTGGCAGGTCCCCCCCAAGTGCCCCTTACTGTGAGGGGGACAGACGTCCTTCTGTTCCGTAACTAGAGAGCGGCGGTCGGGGGGGATCCTGCATGTGTGAGGTCTGGGGGGTGCGGGGGCTGAGGTTATTGGATTACGTCGTAATAGTAATAATAAAGAAGCCACGCCACCGACCTGAGGATTTGGGGGAAATCCAGCCCCTGCTCTCTGGGCTAAGGTTATCTTAGCAACAGGGAATGGCACTCCATTTACCGCAGCGGTGTTACCTGCCACAATTAAAGAATGTTTTGGGTATCGATGTGTTGGCAGGACAAACAGTTGAAGCTCTAAATGGTCGCTTCTGCTTCGGGACTTGGCAAGCGGGGTTCGCTGTGGGACCTGTAACTGTCCTCCTGGCTTCCCCAAGCGGGATCCTGTTGTGCTGCCTGCGCCTGCCGCGGTGGTGACTGTCAAACACTGCTGTATTCTGGAGGGGGAGGGAGCAACCTGCTCCAATCTTCCAGGCACTTCAACAAGTGGGAATCGTTTAGGAAACCATGACTGCTTTTAATAATCCTGTCTGGCCTGTTCAGAAACCATAGGGCTCTTGGAGAACGACTACAGATTATAGGGATTTGAATAAAGTCACCCCCCTCACTTGCAGTTACAGTACCAGACATCATTACTCTTACAGAAAAAAAATAGCAAAAATTCACAACCCTGGAAGGTGGTGACAGACCTTGCTAACGCTTTCTTTTCATAGCCATTGCTCCAGAAAGCCAAGGCCAGTTTGCCTTTACCTGGCAGCAAAAGCAATACACCGCCCAAGCATTGCCTCCGGGGTGCGCACGCAGTCCCTCCACGTGCCTTCAGATGCCAGCGGCTGGTGTGGCACTGGGGCCTGGAGCCTGGCTGGTCACCGTTTTATTGATGATCTATGGATTATGGCAGAGGCACAACAAGAAATTCAAGCAGCTGCTGAATTGCTGAAAGTGCATTTACCAGGACCAAGGCTGGGCAATTAATCCAAAGAAAATACAGGGCCCTAGAGCTACGGTACGATTTCGGGGAATAGCTTGACATGGTCAGATTACAGAAATACCAAGTAAGGTACAGCAAACAGTCCAGAGATTTCCTGTACCTACCAGAGTAGAGCAGTTACAGATCTTTTGGGGACTTTTAGGGTGTTGAAGAACTTTCACCCCCCATCTGGGGGTGTTAATGTGCCCTCTGCAGAGGGTAACTAGGGAGGTTGTTTGGCAGCGGGCCAGGCCACAGCAAGCAGCCTCTGCTGCCTGCAGGAATGCTTTGGTTGGGCGTGTGCAGGTGCACGCCCCGCGGCCAGGCCATCCTTTTTGAGTGAGAAGCAACAGTTCGAGGAGACACAACCGTGTGGGGATTGTGCCAGATGACTGGGCTAAAAAAATCAGAATGAACCTGCAGGATTTTGGTCCCGGGCATTACAGAGCTCTGCGATACATTATACGCCAATGGAAAAGCAAATTTTAGCTGTAGTTTGGGCACCGCAAGAAACTGAAAGAATCACAGGCCAAGCTAGCGTGACTGTACACACCCCCGTCCCTACTCATGGCGGGTTGCTGCTGATACCCTCAGGGCCCAGGCAGGGGTGGCTCAGGCAGCCACACATTGGAAATGGAAACGTTATTTACAGCAACGATTTCTACTGGGAAAACCACAGGTAACGACTCCTCTAGGAACTGTGTCACCTAATCGTGTGCCCACGCCAAGGAAACTCTTCCCCTTGGAGATGTCCCTGTATGTCCCGTGGAGGAGGCTCCCCCTGATGACGAGAGAGCAGAAGAGCACAAGGAAGCCGCGTGGTTCACTGGTGAAGGTGCAAGGTGCACGGCAGCTGGGCAAAGACAACGGAGAGCGGTTGCGTACGCTCCAAACAGGTGTCTCGTCCGTGGGCTGCAGTGGCTGCAGCATCTCTGGCCATCCTGGGGGGGAAGGCGTGTATACTCTGACGGTTGGGTGGTGTACAAAAGCCTCACAAGGTGGTTACCCCGCTGGGCCCAAGAGATATACACGGTATATGCGTAGATATATATACATCGGTATATACAGAAATGCCCTATATGGGGGGCAGATATGGGGCAGCACATCTGGCAATATGTACGAAGGCATCCTTTAAAAGTAAGGCCTGCCTCAGCTCATCAAAAAGGTGGTTCACTTGAGTCAAAATAGTAGGGAAGTGGGTAATATGGCCTCTGCCAAAGTACATGCTCAAGCTATAAACGCACATGGAGCTTGTGGGCATCGATCAGCTTATACTGCACGTGCGTGGGACACCTCCCACAACCAAACCCCTTTGACATTGCCTATTTATAAAGATGTGTACAGAATTGTTCTCCTTGTATTCAGCTGCATTAGAGGGCGTTATGTAGGCCGTGCGGAAAGATAAAACACAGCCGATGGGCCTTGAATACCTGGCAGGTCGATTACGTGGGCCCCCTGCCCCCCTCGAGGGGGTGGTGATATGTATTCGCTGCTGTGGACACAGTGTCAGGACTGGTTTTTGCTAAACCCACCAAGTATGCTAATCAACACAGCACAACGAAACATCAGAACAACTCCTCATCAATACAGACGTCCTCAGCAAATACAAAGTGACCCAGGAACACATTCAGTGGACATAATGTCCAAGACTGGGCTCAGAGTCTAGGGATAGATTAGATATTCCACCTTGCCTACCATCCCCAAGCGAATGGCTTGATTGAAAGAATGAATGGGATGGTGAAGGAACAATTTTAAAGCCAGTACTGAAGCTTTACAACATTGGTGTTCACATCTCACTAAAGCAGGTTTTTGTTAAACAGCTGGAATATTCACCATCAAACACCCTATGATCATATCCTCCAGTACAAAACACAGCGAGGACTGAAATTCTTCTGGATGGTGTCTCTCCCAAAATATTAACTGCAGGGGAAATGGAATTGTTTACACTGATGGATTGTGTGGTGGGACCAGACACGTGAAGATTCAGGTAATAACCCCTGAGAATGCCGTATGGTTCTGTACCCCAGCTTCTCCTATATTACGGCCTCTGTTGATATCAGATTCTCGAGTTCTTGTATTTCAGGTACCTTTGATGAATACCTGTGCCTTGCCTAGAGGAGACAGCGTTGGAACTTGTTACTGGTGTCACAGACCCAAGATCGAGTTGAAATTCAACCTGAAAAAGCACAAGCCGCAGCTCTCCAGTCTGCCTGGGCAATCACCCCACACCAGGTTCTCCAACCCGGAGTGGTACCAGCTGAAGGAGCTGGAGCGACGGCGTGCGAATTGCTGGAAGGGGCTGACGCTCCTGGCTTCCTCCCTTATCACCGGTTGGCTCATCGTGCTTTGCAGTCTCATACCACAGGCACGTGCCCTGGGACCATTTCTGCGAGATCAGCGTGTAAATACTTGGGTCTGGTTGGCCTCTCCTGTCACCAACTCCTCTGCCTTTTCTAGCGAGAGAGGACTAACAGCTGCAGGTCTGAAAAAGTGTTTCATCGGCGTGCCGGCCCCAGTAATCTTGTGTTACAGGATTATACTATGCTAAATGCTCTTGATATTAACGTTCCTCATTGTTATTTTCTTTCTGAGCAGGTAAGTGCTGTATGCCAAGGAGCACTACAAACTCGACTGGTGGTGGACTATCTGCTGCTTTGACACTGTAAACGCGGCTCTGATTTTGAAGGTGTGTGTTGCTTCAACACAACCGCTAGCATAGAGAACGACATTCAACACCTCCAGGACTTAATGCATCAAATGAAACAAGCTACTGGTGGTGCCTGGCTGGCTGAGAGGTTTAGTTCCCTGACGGGATGGGTGGGACACCTGATTCAAAGCATTATTATATGGAGAGGTTTACTCCTTTTTCTATATGTGTTTATGATGTGCTGCTGTAAATCACCCTGCCCTGCACCCCGCAAGCCCAGACAGACACGTCCAGCTTTGCCAGCCCACCGGAGGTGGTGTCTCGAGCGAGGGGGTGGAATGTGGGAAAATATTGGAAGGTTGGCGAGGAGGGCTGTAACCAGGCTCGAGCGACTTGCAGCTGGGGTGTTGAAAAACACATCTATCACGCTCATTGTTGTTTGGCCTTGTGTGCTCGGCAAGTGGAACCTCTGCGTGCCGATAACACCGGCCTGGGAGAGGCTCAGGGGCACCTGTAGAACGTCCCTGAGATTCCTGCCCTGCTGGGGCAAAGACCAAAGCGCGGTGGAAAGCTACACCGGTGAAAATCCCGGAGGTGCGGGCGAAAGCAGCAGCTTTGGGATCTCTCCCTCCCGAGCAGGGACCGGGCTCCGCGGGGCCGGCGTCGCCGCTTGCCGGCCTCTGCCCGGGTGCTGCTTCGGGGACTCCCCGGTCACAAGGTAACGAGAATAACTTTACTTTTTGCGTTTCATCCGTGGTTTCGGGGCTGTTCCTGTGTCCTGCCTGTGCTGGCACGGGGTTACTGCCAGCTCCCGTGAGACACCAAGGAGATGATGCCAGTCCCTGTGCCGAAACATTTACCTTTTCTGCCTCCAAAGCGTAGGCCAGGTCGGAGTACGGCTCGCGAAACCTGAAGTGTGTGTTTGCCCATTCGCCGCTGAAGAGCTGGGACACCTTTCCAAACAGCAGCTTTCGCAGCCCCTGAGGAGGAGGAGGAGGAAGATGGGTTGGGGTCAGCTCCCTTCACATCCCAGCGCCAGGGGGATCTCTAACGTCAGGGGGGCGGGTGCAGCGTGTGCGCTCCCAGCCAGGGCAGGTAAAATCCTCTACTGAGACCCAGGCCCCATAATTTCAAAGCAAAGATGATGTTTGTGGTTAATTCGGTGGCTTCACTCAGCCTCTCCTGTGAAGTACAGCTGCAGCGTGGAAATAATTTCCATTTGGATACGCTACACCTTCTGGGCAAAGACCTGGGCCAGGTGCTCACTGTCATCAGCGGCACCTCTGGGGACAAATGAAAGATCTGCGTTTCCCGTGCAGCCCCCCCTCAGGTGCCCAGCGCTGGTGGGAGGCAGAGGGGGGCTGTCTGGGCCCCCCTCGGAGCGCAGGCACGGCCATTGCCGAGCACGTCCCCTGTCCCTTCTGGGTTGGCAGCCGGATTAAAAGAGGAAGTTCAAAAACCCACGTGGCTCCCACCCAAAGCAGACACGCTTGCAACCTCTGACGCCGCCGGTGAGGTTCCCTTACGGTAACTTTTAACACGAGCACCTGGCTGGGAGGGCGGGCGGGTGCTGCGAGGGTGCTGGCCCCGCTGCCCCCCTCCCTCCCTCTCAGGGTGCTGTGGGGGTCCTGCCTGGGTGCGGGTGCCCGGGGGGGGTGAACCTGCCTCCTGGCCTCACCCTGAACCACCCCGTCTGTGGACGCTGCCTGAGCCCACCCGGAACATATTTCCTAATTAATTTTAATTTTAGTGAGTGAGGTATTCGCTGAGCAAAGTGAAGCAAACGGACATCGTGGCTCTTCCCGTTAAGAATTGTTTGCCTCTGCGGTGGGTGCTTTGTGTGAGCGGTCATGGACTGGAGAAGACGGAGCAGTTGTGTTCTGGTGCAGCTGGCAGCGAGCACGGTCGTGCTCCTAAACCTTTTCAGGACGGGACGTGTTCGACCGTGCTCGGTGGCGCAGCCCCGGCCACGCTTCCCCCCCGGGGCAAAACCCTTGAGCTTCTCGTTATGTTTGTGCTGCCGTGGGGGGGGCCTGGTTTGGTGTGGGGGGTCACGGGCCGTCACCCCTTCTGCCATCACCCGCCGACCCCCCCGCGCCTGGCCAAGGCTCCCGACATGGGGGGGCTGCAGACACCCCCCGCGAGCGCGCTGATCCCGGGCGTTGGGGTGGGAGTAGCAGTAACTTACTGATCCCCCCGACCTCTGCCTCCTGCTCTGGGGCTGTTCGCCAGGAAAGCGCCAGCGAGCAGGGACGCGTCTCGCTCTGTCGTTTGACCTATTATCCCATGAGGATTACGGTGCATCAGTTTTAGGGCTGTTCTTCACCTTCTTCAGCAGTCCCATGAATAAATGATTACGATCATACCCCTCTGCTGCGGGTAACTGCGGGCTGCAGCCTCCGGCGCAGCAACACGCCGAGCCTCCCACACCGCCGGGTAAGGTTCCCGCGTCTCTTTCTTTTAACGAGATTAAATTACAGCCCATGCTTAATTCAGCAGGCCCGCTCACCGTCGCCGTTTCCGAGGAGCTGGGCTGACCGGCCGCGTCCGGGGGCAGCCGGGGGGTCCTGGGGCTGGCGGCGGGGGGCAGCCCCCCAGGCTCTCCAGCTCCAGCGCTGCCCCGGCCTCGCTGCGCGGAGAGAGGAGCGCTCGCTGCGTCGTCCCGGGCGGCTGCCTCGCCTGCGCCCAGTGTCCCCAGTGCTCCCGGTGGGGTGGGCAGCAGGAGCGGGAGCTGGGCTGACGGGGGGGCAGGGGGCGCGGGATTGGTGCTGCCAGGGGGCACCGGGAGGGGGGCAGCCAGCTTTACTCAGTCCCCGCAGACATCCCCACAAACTAAGGACTGGAGTACAACGTCGTGCTGTGTGTGTCTGAATTACAGGGGATGAACTGCAGTGCCTCCCAACCTAAGGGCACAGCAGGTTTTCCAAATACTTATATTTAAGAAATCTTAAGTTGTTATATATTTTTTCCCGTGTTCTAAAATTGACCATGAAAACCATCACTTGCAGTCAGAAAGGTGAATTTATGTTGGGCTGCTCCGCCACTTTGTTTTAGATGAGGAAGACATTCCTTTAAAATACCTGAAGAAAACGCATGTTCCTTAAAGGAGGAGCAGAAGAAATAAATCCCCATAAAACCATCTGCTGTCCTGCCTACATAGGTGTGTGATTTCCTCTACACACTAACCTGGTGGAGCAGTCACAAAAACCACTGGTCAAATATGAAATGTTACCTTTTAGAGAAACAGTTACCTGATGAGTTGTATTACTGAATTCCAAACTGAAAAGGGAAAACAAAATGCAAATTAAAAAATCCCCACCACAACTGAGTCTTCGCTAACATATGAAGAAACAAGAGGCCAGCCAGACAAGACCCCTGCAAATAAGGGAAGAGTAAAAGCTGTAGTACTTGCATTACTGAGTACATGAAGACCTTTTTGCACAGCCGAGTAAGTATTGTAATAAAACATAACATTAAAAACGATATTAAAAAAACACTTGGAACTGAAAAAACGTGATAATGAAGCAGAATAAAGATCTTACCCGTGGGAACTAAAAATTTCTCTCCATTTGTCTAGATCTGCAATTTTGCCGGTGGTCTCCTGCAGCCCTGCCCGCGGGCCGGTGGGCTCGGCCTCCCGGTCGCCCATCTGCAGCCGCGGGCGATGCTGGGGGTGGGGGCACTGGGGCTGCTGGGGACCAGCCCCCCCAGACCCGCGCCTCGGCCGGCGCCCGAACCCCCCCGGGGGGCTCGCCGTCGGCTCCCACCGTCACACCGCAATTAAACTTCCAGCAGAGCCGGTCCCAGCCCGCGCCTCTGCGTGCCGTGCGAGGAGCGTGAATGTTTAATGCGGGCACGGGGCCGTGCGAGGCCGGCCGCCTCCGGGCTGGCACGGGGCCGGGGGGCTCTGCCTGGAGCTCCCTCGGCGAGGGCTGACAACGGGGTCTGGGCTGCGAGGGCTGGGTGGGAAGTGTGTAGCTCAAAGGGGGGAAGGAAAAAAAAAAAAAAAAAAAAAAAATCAGACTTAGCAGAGGTCTGTGAAGTCGAGTAAGTTCACTGGGGAGACGAGCCGCAGAAAGGCAAATCCGTGCCGCGACGGCCCCTCGACGTCTGCCGCTTGCCGCAGCGAGGCCGGCACCCCAGGGCTGCGCGGGGGGAAGCCCAGTGGTTTGGTGCTGGTGGGGCCGTGGAAATCACACCATCCGTGTTCTTCTCTTTCCGTCTGTGAGGACGCACCAGCTGGGGGGCAGCTGTCTGGGCTTGGGTAGAAAAAAACCTGAGGTAGAGGTGATGCGAACGAGCTGAGCCTGGCTTCCCGTCGCGCACCGGGGAGCTGCTCGGGGTTCCCCAGGTGTGTCTAAGCTGGGTCTGTCCGGCGCTCCGACAGCTTCGTGTTCCCTGCAGGGACGTTTGGAACAGCGTGGCTCAAATCTTGCTTTATGGAAACGGAAACTATGCGGGCCAGCCAGCGTGCGAGACATCAAATGCCCATTTTTTTCATCCAGCTGAAGGAGTTGTGGCTTCACTTGGTAACAAAAGCTGCTCTCCTTTTTGGTGCTACACAGGCTCCAGTCTTCCAGCTTCCTGAAAACTGACATAAACCCCTCATTCTCTTTGCCTCTATTGGACTAGCACTTAAAGAAAGGGCAGAGTACCCACTAGGTTCCCAGCAAACTGGGTGTAAACCACGTAGTTCTGCTCGGGAGAAGGCTGGGGAGGAGCTGGCGGAGCGGGGTGCTGAGCGTGCCGGCTGAGCACCGTCCTGTGCCCGCAGCATCCCAGGGAGGCTCCGCAGCAGCAGCTCCGCAGCACCGCGCTACCGGGGGATAATCACAGCCAGAGCCAACCTCCTCTTCTCCCTCGCGCGTTCCCAGCCGTGGGGAGCTGAGCACCCTTCCCGCCGCAGCCTGTGGGAGTTGTGTTCTGGGGCCCGAAGAAATGAGCTTGGCTCCAAAGAAAACTTCCCCGGAGGAGCTGGGCTCTAACGGTGAAGCGAGCTCCGCCGAGCGCATCCTTGCCTCATTTAATTGCCTCCCTAGGGTGCCCGCTGGCACAAAAGGAGTTTGACCTGGAAAATCAGGCAGTCAGTCCTTCCCTCTCTGAAATACTGGCTTATCTCATGAGTTGATTTGTAATTAGCTCTTGTCATTTCTTCAGATTTTTGACATAAGGAGAACAGATTCGCCCATGGATTTGTAAACAGAATAAAACAGATCAACGCTACTCCGCATTTGTAGGTAAAGGGGGATGGAGCAGGCTGATGCAAACCCATCTCTTTCCAGGGGTTCGAAATCAGGGCGTGCGACAAGCTGCCCTTCCAGATTTGGAGAGTTCACCACTTTTGGGCATTTTATGGCAGAGGAGAATGAACCCGGCTCTGCAGAACTGGCCCTCGCCAGCGGACCAGGCACCAGCTCCTGGGGAATGGGTGGGAGTGTCATTACCCGGCTGTCCCCCACCCTGCCAACCACCTCCCAGCGAGCCGTGTTGTGACGTCGTGGTGTCTTCGTCAGATGAGACACCAGAGCAGGTGCTGGGGTGGGGGGCAGTGTCCTGTACCCCTGCTCTTGTGTTTTTCCATCAGGAACGCGATCACGCTGTCAATGTGCTTGTTGTCGTGCCTTCCTGCAGAATGCCGGGCTGAGATCCGGCTTTGCCCCTCGGCTCTCCCTCACGCCGGCTGCTGGTGGTGACGGATTGCGGCACCGGGACGGCAAACAGCCCAGGACCCGGCTGCAGGAGGGAGAACCCCCCGGCTCGGTTTGGCAGTCGGTTTGGAAGACCGGAGGCAGGAGGTGGCACAGGACACCCCATCCCTCGGCCGTGGGGAGCATCCCCCCGCCCCGGCCCCCCCGAGGGGCTGGTTCCCCTCGCCCTGTTCCCCACCTCCACCCAGGCGGGGCTGCTGGCACGCTGTCCTGCTGCTCCCCAGGGCAGGATGGAGCCCAACCGCGGGGCGATGGCATCGGAGTGACACCCCCGTCCCTGTGCCGGCCCGGGGGGGACGTGGGCCCGCACCTCGGCTGCCGACAAAGAGAACGCAGCTGAGAAGTTAGCGAAACTTCGCGCTTCCACGGCAGCTGGCATCTCCAGATGTCAAATATTGGCTCGAGAGGAGAAACCCCCGCTCGCACCACCAGGGCCTTGGCGCAGACCTCTCCCGACCTCTCCACGCGGTAGGGGAATGCTTTGCGATGTCGGAGGGGAAGCTGTGGGGCTTAATCCTCCTCTTCCCCAGCGCGATCTCAGCTCTGCAGGAGCTCGCAGAGGATCGGCTCCTGGCCGGGGCGGCGGCGCTGGCATTTCTGCAGCCGGCGCTGGGCATCCCTCCCGCGGCAGGCGTGGGGGGCCCCTCGGCCCCCGCGCCCCGGGGTGTCAGCCATGGGGCTCCTCTCGCTGCGCTTCACCGCACCACGTCCGCAGAGTTGTTCATGCTGGTCCCAAACGGTAAATCATCTCCGCCTGGGGTAGAAACTGTGACAAGAAAACCCGTCCAGGGGGATGTGCTCTAGAAGGGTCCGCTGGGGGGGCCGGTGGTGTGACCTCTAGGGTCCCCCCTCAGGGCAGCCACAGCAGGAGGGTGCAATACGTGTCCGGAGAGCACGGTGAGCTCCACATCTGCCACACGACGCTCCTCCGTTCGCCCCTGCATCAGCATCGTGGGCCACTGGTCTAAGCCCGGTACACACCCTTGTATATATATATTTCTTATCTATCTATCTATCTGTATTTATGTGTACGCACACTGCATGCACACACACATACGGACACATATGCATACTAAGTTTTTATTGGGATATGAAAAAATCTGATTTTTTCAAGAACCTTCAAGATATTTTTACCTATTTCTCCTCACTATACAATTTTTGTTGCTTTTTTAAATCATGAAATATGCTAGTCTAGATATGAAACAGGTCAAAACTTCTTTAGCTGATGCTCATAGATTACAAGTGGGCCTCAGAGTACGTGCTGGTGCTCATCCAGGGGCGCAAGCTGAGCAGCTCACGCTTGCTCTAACTGTCGCTTTCAGCTGGTCAAACACACAAATGCCGTCTCAGTTTTATTTTTCTGGTAAGAAGTTGTTATGTTTTTCTTGGGAACGGCATAGGAATGAAAATAACAGCTGGCCTCATGCTGGTGAGCGGGGTGGGGTGCGGGGGGAGCGGTGGCACCAGGCTCTTTGGGAAGTGATGCCCCGTGGGCCCCACGCCCCGGGTGGGGGCAGCTCCCCCCGGCACAGCAGATGGGGCGGGGCCGGGTTTATGGGCTGTGCTGAGGTCTGGGAACCCCATATGTGATACCCCGGGGCCGGATCCTTCCTCGGGACTGGCAAGGATCGCTCAGAGATACACGCATGTGAGTAGTCTGTACATCGATCCAGTACGTCCGATCCTGTACATTGATCCTGCACGTTGATCCTGTACATCAATCCTGTACATCGATCCTGTACATCCAATCCTGTACATCAATCCTGTACATCGATCCTGTACATCCAATCCTGTACATCAATCCAGCACATCCGATCCTGTCCGCTGCCGATTGCCAAAGCTGCTACAGAGCCGCCAGGCAGAGCGGCTTCATGAAACACCAGGAACAAGAAGGATGAAACATCACTCCTTATCACTGATTGTATAGTAGAGAATACCATGAGTTGTAATACAAATTATGTGTTAAGATACATTAACATTAAGAAGAATATGCACATTAATTAAGAAGAAAATGATGAAAATAAGTTGGGGGTCGTGGCAGCCGGCAGTAGCCCTTACACGTTGCTGAAGCCTAGGGAGCTAGGGTAGGGCGTGGGGAGGCCGAGCTGCTTTGTGGAAGGGTTGGTGGAGCAGGCATATGGTTGACAAACCTTTTACAAAAAAACCCAGCCATGGTTTGCCATTCATAGTAAAGGTATAAAAAAATGGCATAAAAGTCAGTGATGTCGTCTTGTAAGTCACTAGAGCTTGAAGCAGAGGCAAGTCCTGGGAGGTGCCGGGGCTGATTTTCACCACAGGTGGCTCCATGGGTGCTGGGTGGGACGGCTCCTCACCTGCAGCTGGGTGGGATGGATTGATCGCTCCTCACCTGCAGCTGCAGCCCCAGCAGATAAATGGGTGGCTGGGGCAGCAGTTGTCCCCTGGCACCTCCTCTTGGGTCGGCTTTGGAGGTCCCCTCTATGTCCCCCAGGCTGTGCCTCATCCCCAAGGCACCGGTGATGCCGGCGGGGCTGGGGTTGGTGTCGCGCTGCTCTCCTGGGCTGGCTCAGCTGCACCTGGGGTGAGTGCTTTAACTCGCTGCTTTAACTGACCTGCGGGAGTGTAAGGGTGCAAGGGCCGACGTGTTCATCTGTTCTGGCTTCCTACACGCCTTGAGGTAGGGAACCTCATGGATGCATTCATCAGGCTCTCTGGGGCTGCAGCGTGCCTTGTAAGCCCCTCTGCTCTGTTATTCCTTTGCAGCCCTTTGCCAAAGGTTTTCACTTTGTTTGTGTTGTTTGATGAGAGTTTGCAGGGCTGTCTTCTGGGCAGGATTCTCCACGCTGATGGCCGTGGGGATTTGGGGGGTGCAGTGGTCTTGTTCCTGCTGCTCTGTGCTGGGAAGTGCCCCGGCTCTGTGTGCTATTGGGGGGGGTCAGCCTCCCCGAGGCGAGCAGGGGGGAGCATGCTGCATCCCCCTGCATCCCGCTTTGCTGCGTGCAGCTCCTGAACCGAGGCTGCGAAGCCCCCAGCTCCGGTGATCACACGGGGCAATGAGGGCTCTTTGGACTTTGGGGTCAGAGAGTCGTAGTCTGGCTTCTTAAAACTAAAGAGCCCAGGTGGGAGCTCTGCGGGCAGAAATGGGGATGTTGCCGTGCACGTGGCGCTAGGTTAAGGCGGATGCGGTGGGTTCAGGTGTTTGGGTTTTGTCCTGCAAGCACCTGGTACAGCGTCGTGTTCCTTCTGAGCGCTGTGCTTTTGAGATGGAGCCTGATGGGTGGCAGGAGCAAAGCCCTGGCCCCCTTTTCTTGTTTGATGGCTGTAGATTTGCTGGGCAGCCTTGTCCTCCACGGCCCTGGCGTGGTAACCACTGCGCCCTCGCCTTCACAGGGGCGAAAGGGCAAAGCTGCTGCTGGTGATAGTCTGCGCCTCTGTTGCAACCCATTTATTTTACTTTCCAGATCCAGTTCACTGGTATCGATATTCCTAGTTTTCTTCATACCAGCTACTTTTCAAATAACTTACTAGGAAAAAAGACAAATGTTTTCAGAAGGTCTTACACCAAGGAAGAGAGGGTATTTTGATCTAGACATTACCAAATAGCATGTCGCCCTTTGTTTACTGCATGTGCCATAATGATGCTTATTTGAAACCTTCACTTTTTAAAACTTCTTTAGAGCTAATAATTTACAAGGTAGTACCTCTGGTGGTTGTTGAATGTAGAGGTGATGAACCTCTTTGTTGAAGTGTTCTTAAATTATGCAACTCTAATACATCAGGTCAACTGCTCCAGTGATTGTCCCTGAATCTTTTGATTTTGTAAAGGGAAATTCAAATCCAGCAAATCGTATTAGCAGGGCGTTCAGGAAGTGCACCAGGGAGCAAACCAGGATGATCCAGAATGAATCTGCAAACTGTTCACTGTGAGTCTTGAATGTAAAACTTGCCTCCTTGAAATTAGCAATTTTCTCTGAAAGGTGGTGGATCTTCACTTCTGAAGAGAAGAGAATCATGATGAGGCAACCACAGGAACCTGAAACAGAGGTAGGAGATGCTCATTGTCATGGCAATGCCTGCAGCAAGGCCGTGTGATGTGCATCACAACCAAATGCCACGTTGATAGTGGTATTATGGCCAGTGTAACCTAGCTTTAACAGGGAATATGCTTAGAACCCAAGCCAATGGCTACTGAAGTTGGTAAGCTTTTCAAAATTAAATTTTACTTAGGACTGGTAATATTTAGTACAGCTGCTTTAGTGCCCTGATCCAGCAAAGTATCTCTGTTCCTTTTCAGCTTTAAGCTGCTCATTGTCCCATTGAACATAACTGGATTGTCTGCATGTTTAAAGATAAATATGTACTTAAGTCCTTTATTAAATTATGATTGCAGTATGTAATGCCTTGTAAAGCAATGGTAAATCTTCTTGTCAGCCAAGCCAGCAGCACAGAGGGTGGGCTTTACCCTCTCGAAGTGGCAGAGGGATGGGGATGGTGCGTTATCCCTGTTGGCAGTGTGTTTTCAGAGACCCTCCCGCAGCGAGCCCTGTCTGACTCTGCCCCTCGCTTCTGGAGAAGGGCTCGCTGGCACGGGCGCTGGCCTGGCTTACACGGCTGGAAACCTCCCACCGTGGTGAATACGAGCGGTTGCATCACTGACTTTTTTTTTGTTTGTTTGTTTGTTTTTTCCCCTCTCTCCCTGCTCTGGAGAGGTTCCCGGTCCTGACCGTGTGCTGTGTGCCCGTGATGTGGCCCCAGCTCTGCAGCTCGTGGGCACCATCCCCTTTATCCGTGACCCTGCGTGGAAGGGCTGGAGGGGCCGGGGCTTCCCGCGGCCGCTCGCCCGCACCCCCCCTGCCACCGACCTCACGGGGGATTCTGGCATTTTATCTCTTAACACCAATTTGGAAAAAAACATGTTTTGATACAGCAAAGTCATCCGCTTTGCTGCCTAGCTTTGTTTTGCCAGTTTAGGGTCAGTGCAGCCACGGTCCTTCACGTGGGCCCCCGCACCCCTGAACCGGTCACGGCGGGCGGGTGTTGGCCTGGGGGGCCGAGGGCGGGTGGTACTTACAGGCGATGAAGCTCCAGAGGTACAACCCGACGGGGCCGTGCAGCGTTTCGTAAGGTCTGCCAAAAGCATTGAACATGAAGAAACCTGCTCCCACCAGAGCAAAGACGATCAGTACTGTACAGAAGAGAATGACACTAACATGGATGCTTGCAGGGATAACTTTGAGCAAATCTGGAAAAACTAAAAACAAAATGAACAAAAGGTTATTATACGCATTAGGCAAAGCTAATTCTGAAACAGAAATCAGGCCAGGGATTTCTTGCTGGTTTGTGTTAATTGTCCTAAATCATGCTCTTTCAAATGCAACCAAAGATGAAAATGAAGTTATTAACTAGAGACAGGTTGTCATGGATGTTTGGGGGCAGGAGCGTTTTGTGAAACTCAGCAGTGTAGACTGGCTGGGGGAGTAAGACCAGCGCCGGGGAAAGCCTCCCCTCCCCTCCCCTTCCCAAGGGGTGCTGCTGCTGGCTCCTGTGCCCGGGCAGGGGGGAGGCTGGGCAGCCCCCTTGGGCACACGGGTCCCTCGGGGGTCCCGCTCCCTCACACCGGCCTCTTGGTGCGGACCATGTCACAGGCAATGCACGGCAGACAAAGTCCTGGGGGTCACTCGGGCCCTGGCTGTATGGAGAAGCTGGGGGGAGTGGGGGGGAATAGGCTTGCCCAGCCCCCCAGGTGCTCGTTGGGTTTGCAGCAGCGCCCGGTTCATTGGGGTCTGTGTGGCCGGGATGCGGACTGCCGTGCTGCCGGTTCATACAAATATACGGTGCTGCTTCGTCAGGTTCATACCCAAAGAGTTTTGGCTAAAAATGTCCCTTTTTTTTTTTTTTTTTTTTTTTTCCTGAAAACCTTAAGCAATAAATGTGTAAGTTAAAGGTCTGCGTTCCGTTGCGGAGGAGCAGGAAATCATTAGTGCAGGTGAGGTGGTGGCAGGCTGGCCGGTTGGGCGTGCTGCGTGCAGGGCTGCAGGGCCGTACGGCGTCTGGGGACGATAACGTGGGGGTCGGTCGTGGTGTGAGACTCCCCGGGAAAGTCCACCAACAGTTATCGCCAAAGAGATGTGTAGGCACCCAAAAGGATCAGTGGTTTCTTACCTCCTATACTTTGGCACTTTTCTATTTTTAGAAAATAGAAAAAAAATGGCATTTTTAACAAAAATCCTTAAGAATAAAAAAGGGATATATTTCTGGACATATATTAATCTCTTAAATGATTTTTAAATGAAATATGACACTAAAGAGGGAGAAAATCATAAAAATTACATCAAGGATTTTTTTTGCAACACTCTCTGAATTAAATTTTGAATGAATAAGCAAATATTATACAATCAAAATTTTGTCCCCTTTATTTCCCCAACCAAAATGCTTGAGGAATGTTTTGTGGCTGGAAGCCCAAAGTCAAAAAGGGAAGGTGACAAATCAGTGAGAGGAAATGGAGAGATCTTACGAGGAAAAAGTGGGGTATCAAGCTAAAATAAGCCAGAACAAATAAAATGAGTGTGCAGCTGCAAAGGCTGGTGAAATGCCGGTGGCGGGCACGGTGTCCTGTGCCCCGAGCCGGGGGGGCTGGAGGCCACGCTGCTCCCGGGCACGGAACCGCCCGTGGGACTGCGGATGCAGAAATCTAGGAATAATTTAAATCTTTTGATGTGGATCTTCAGCTACTATTTCAAACTGCGATCCTGCTTAGCTAGGGCACAAGGGGACAGTCAGCCAGACTCAGTATGGGGGAACAATTTTTAATCATTCACGTTTGTTTGGCAACAATGGGTGTTTTAAAAGGAATCATCAAATACACTTAACTGCTGCTGATCCACAGGGGCACGACTGAAGTGGGGTGATAACGCCCTGGCGCTGCCTCGCTGCAGCTGTAACGTGCAGAGAGTAAAAAAGCCTTACAGAAATGACTCTGCCTTGTACAATGTTTACCAGCAAAGGGTCCTGCAGCTTGCCATGCCGCAAGCGCAGAGGCGCAGGTGATGTGGTGTCAAGTCAATTTATCTCCTCGACTAGATGAAAGGGAAATTAATGGAGGAAACGTTTGCGTGCTCTTCTTGAAGCTCCGTTCAATGAATGCCACCTTTTGCGTGGTGGCTGGGGGGGGGGCAGGCAGAGCCCTCTGCTCACCCCTTCCCCGGCTGCTGGGGCCAGCACTGGCCCCGGGCTCTGCTCTGCTGGCCCCGGCCTGGGGCATCCCCGCCGGCCTGGCTCGTGGCCACGGGGCCCAGGCCAGCAACTGTGCTGCACACAACAAAACTACCCGTTCGCTAAATCTACCCACTTGCCTAAAGGAAGAATTTGCCAGCATGAAAGGCTGCTTCTGCTGAATGGCTACTTACTGTCCAGTTTGGCCACTTAAACTCCTTATATCATGCTCGTAAAAGACAAAGCATGTTTTAGAAACTGGACCTTGTGTTTACAGACTTTACATTACTTATTTCACACATTTACAAGCATAAGAAGCAGTTGTACTGTTAGTGTGGTATAGATTCATTGTTGTACCATTCCGGCTAGCCAACAAAAAAGCTGAAGAGCCCCTGCCTGTGCAGAATTTCTACAAGGCATTAGTTCTTGCAATGCTACCTGCTGTTTTGGGAGAACATGCAAAATTGTGTATTGTTTATTTTAAGAAAACATGTTACTGTATTGAATCTTTCCCTTGGAACCTGCATTTATAGTTCGTTATGTCATTAAAATTTTATATGTGACATATCAGGAAAAACTAATTCCAGCAGCTATGTTGTCTTGAAAGAAAAACATTCCTTCATTGTAATGAATGAAATTGTGTGTTAGGTATCCATGCCAGTGACCTTTAGAAAATGAACTGCTGACCCAGAAGCTGATGAGAATCAGCAAGAGCAAATGAAGCAGAAGGCTTTCCCCAGCCGACCTGGGTTTGCTGGCAGAGCAAATTCATTTTACAATTAAAAGAGCGGTAGTGGTCAGAAGGGAGCAGCTAATGGGAACAAACATAGAACTAAATCATTTAGCCTATTTTCCGTGCCTTTTCTTCTCGGACATGCTAAAGTGCACTTCAGTGTGTTAAACTGGGTGTGTACGTTGTACACGGCCGTCCCGCTCCCCGGGGGCCCTGGCGCGGAGGGGCCACCTGAGCGGGCTCGCAGCAGATTTCGCTAAGCCACCCAACCACTCTGTCTAAATATAAACCCTATTAAAGCGTCGTGTTTGCTTTTTAACCTAAGTAAAAGATGATCTGAGAGCAATTTGTGAGGAGGAGGGCAATGCTCCCACCCTGCGCTGTCAAAGCTGCCGGCGGCAAGTCCTGCCCTGCACGGGGCCGGGGCCGGAGAGGGAACTGGGTCTGGGAACTGGTCCTGGGATGGACTTTGGCAGCACCTGGGGCATGCCTCGGGTGTACACGGGCCAGAGAGCACCCCGCAGCGTCCTCTCCAGGGTGCTGGGCAAAGGGTGCCAGCGCAGGCGAGTAAGGCTGACAAGATGGGCTTGGGAGAGTGAAATATTTCACTATGAATGCTTGGCTTGTATGGAAGGAGAATAAAAGGTGAAAGAATGCGCTAACAAGCAAGCCTGGGCTCAGTTTTAGGTTGGCAAAGGCCTCGGTTGTGTTTCTGACCCCAGTGCTTCTGCTGCTGTGGGTGCGCTGGGGCTGGGTGCTGGGTGTGGGGCTGGGTGCTCTGGGGCTGGGTGCTGCTCTGTCACCCACCATCCAGCCGCTTCGCTTCCAGCTCGGGCAGGCTCAGGTGTGGGATTAAACCCAGCCTTGGTTCCACATCCTGGGAACAGGCATTAAAGCACGTGCTTCACACCTCATTTTCTCTGTCTGAAAATGAGAAGAGTGATGTTTACTGATGTTGAGTGACTTTTTCAATGGTTTCTTCTTTGTACCATTCCAGAAAGCCTTGGAGTTCTTTAAATATGTCCATTAGCCACTCAATTTTTAATATTGTCCTGTGCAGTAGGATTCTGCAGCTCTGTATGAACACTCAGGTTTTGTGGGATTTTTTTACCATTCCACAAGTGGGTTGTTTAGCTGTGACTAAAAACTTCACACACTGTTATTTCTGTTCTTTGGTTACAGTTGTGTTTCAGTACTCTGAAGTAACAGCTACAAATGCAAGTTTGGTAAACATTTGGATAGGGAAGCCTGGTTACACTCCTGAGGGCCTGGAATGAAATTGAACGGCCACAGTGAGAGCAAACTCTGTAACCCTGGCGTGCTTCTGGTTGAAAACGCTCTGCAGAACTTGCAGAGTTAGCCGGTATGTAGCACTGTAAGGTATTTAATAATATATGATTGATGATATCAAATCATCACAAAGAAGCTGCGCATTTGTATTCTCTGTTGTACCTGTAGTATCATTCACACTGCCCACAAAATTAAAATTCTTTTGAAACTTTTGCTACAATCGTACTAGCAGTGTATTAAAATATTTCAGCTGTTACAAGAAGGAACGTACAGACGGGAGCCTGAATGCGCGGCACACCAAGGAAATGGTTTGGAAGGCTCTAAGTAACAAGCACGTGGAAAGAGAAGGATGGGTGAGAAGCCGGGGGCTGCCTGGCCCGGGAATTGGGGTGCACCCGGCCTGGGGCCGCGCCCCCGTCCCTCCCCGCCGTGCAGCGCCAGGAGCCCGGGCAAACGTGCGGCACCGAGCGGCCGGTCCGCTGCGGGTCGTCATCATTTCACCCACCGCGGAAACTCGTTCCCCGGGATTTAGGAAACCCCCCCGAAAATTCACCCCAGCCTGTAACCGGGAGGGTGAAATACCGGCACGCTGTGACGGCAGACAAGGCGATCGAGAGGAGAACTGCTGCTGTGTAAAGAGGCTAGTGACGGGATTTAATTAGAGACCGCAAATCTTTATATTATATTAAACTGATTTGGTCTACTACTTAGGAAAAACACTATATAGTAAACAGTTTCTAATACCTAATCTGGTAACCTCACCTTGCCTTAAATGACTCGCGTCAGCAATCTACCACTGCTGTTTTAGCAGAAAGCTTCTAAACTGTGCTTTGTAATAACTTCAGGTGGCGTGTGGTACCTATAACAAATAGCTGTTTGTTGTTATCTGTTTAATGTGCTGCTCTATACAAACTGTGTGTTCACTTGATCAGTACATTGGCCTTCTTATCCCTGAAGATAAATAGGTTATGAATATTACACGCGAAGCAAACCCATTGCTAACAGTGTTCGATAAAATTCTGTATGTCGGATACCAAGTTCGACTTGCAGATCACCCCCCCGAGTGCCAGCTGCCATCAACCAGCCATTCTTCCAATTACTGCAGCGGGCTGCAAACTTTTTGGGTGCTTTGTTTCTCAGCAGCAGCCAAACACATCTACGTAACACAACCCAGCTCTTTCGTGCGATTTCTGCTGTTCATTCTTCTGTGGCAGCACAGAAGATGTAATGTTGGCAGATTAATTGAAAAACAAAAATATTATTTTTTTAAAGTAATGGTATAAATATTTTGAAATTTAGGTATCTGTGTAACTGAAATCTAGATTGTTGAGAAAGTTAGCGTGGCTTTACTATCATCAGAAAGTAAGTTATTTGAACCTGAGGATCAGAACACTAACGGCAGCGTTTGCTTCAGAACATTTCATGCCTGCTGGGCTCTGTGTGAGCAAGGGGAGGCTGGGGCAGTCGTCTCCCGGTGCCCCTCGCCGCCAGCAGCGCCCTGCTAAATAATTCAGATGCTGTCGTTACTCACATGAGAACTGGAAAGGTCTCCCCCCGAGCCCGCACTGCCGCACGCGCTCGCCGTGGAAAAGCCCGTACTGGATTTCGCCGATGAACTTCTCCAGCTCCTGGCCGGTGGCGTTGACGAGCAGGGCTCCCGTCTGGCAGAGGATCGTCCCCCTGACCCACCGCTGCGTGCCGATGGCTGCCGCCGTCCCCAGCGCGCAAGCGAAGCTCAGCACCCCGGCTACGCAAAAGGTGATTTTCTTCTGCTGGGCTGGCATGGTGGCGTGTGAAATCCTCGGAGGGACGCGGCTCCCAGCGAGGCCGTGGCCAGCCGAGCTGCCCCGGCCAGCCCCGCTCCCGCGGGATGCCCGGCACCCAGCCCCCCCGAGGCACGTGCTTCCCCGAGGATGCTCCAAAGGCTTTTCCTCCCCGACCCCTTCCGTGCAGCGCCAGCCTGCACGCTAACGCGTTTAAATAAGCTGGAAAATAGAGCCGTCTGTAGAGCGCTTCGGTGCGTCCTGTCACTTGATAACAAGGGTTTAAGGTGACGGAAGGAGCCTCTCTGTAATTTGATGATGAGCTGCCCCTCCCGGCCCCCGTCTGACTGGGCGAGGGGGGGATTTCAGACACAGGCCTGGCTGCTGTGTCTCCTCATCTGCTCTCCAAAAAGGAAGTTTTCAGCTAGCAATGCTGAACTGCCGCCTTTTTTTTTTTTTTTTAGGGGAGGGTGTAGAGTGGAGAATTTCTTGTTTGTTTGCTTGGGCTTGTTGTTTTTTTTTTTTTTTTTTTTTTTTGTAATGGCAGGAGTGATGCACAGTGCCCCCACTAAGCCTGGGGGCCCTTCTGCAGTAGTTGCTTGCATTTGGGCACTTGCTGTTCCCTGGCAAGGGCAGCTTGCCTGCTATACATCATATTTTTCTGGCTGCAGGGTGCTCAGACAAGCGTTCCAGTTCAGAATTCAAATATGCACAAACACATTTCCGCTTCCTTTACAGAAAACCCGCTCGGCCCAGGCTCGGCAGTACCTGCGGGCTGTGCCGGGGAGGCTCCGCGGGGCTCCCGCTGCTGCCGGAGCCAAAGTCACGGGCACAAAATCGCCCGTCCCCGGAGAGGGGCTGGCCCAGGGCCTCGGCTGGGACCAGGAGCTCTGGGCACCCACCCACCGACTGCCAGTGGCTTCAGCAAGCACTGGCGTCTGGGGTTTTTTTCCTAACCAAATCAACTTAGGAAGTGGTTTGTTGATGGATGCATATCCACTGCAGGAATATTCTTCAGGTGGTTTGAGTATTGTATCGGGCTGAAAAACTGAGTCTGGTTTAACTAGATAGTTTTTAAGACAACCTTGGAATTAAAATGAAGCAAGGCTGTGTACAGATGAATTTTTTTTTTTTTTTTTAAGGTAATGTTTAAGAAAAGCTGTGGTTCGCTCTGCGATCATCATTTGTAACCAAAAGCTGGCACAGTGCCGTGTCACCGGGGGCTGTTACCGCTGAGCCTGCACTGCCCACAGTGCTGAATGCATACGGGTTTGGGAAAACGCTTATTTTTAAAGATGGCTTTGAATACTGGAGCAGAATGCACTTATCCTTCCCTGAGGAGGGACTGTAATATTTTAGTATGATTATCACCAGCATAACAGCAATGAAAGGAACAGGCGTGAACATACGCATATAAAAGTGACTGTGTCCTAGGAAGAATTTGATGGGGGCAGCGGGAGGAAATTAATTGCATCTATCTGTTTAGATCGCTGCTTTTTTTCAGGAGTCAGCTTTTTGATAGTCTTTTCCTATGGAGCAATAGTTGGTGCCGTGGAAAATGATGTAGTTTTCTGAATGAGCTAAGTTATTTTGGAATCCCTCAGAAAAGCAGAGGTGGAGGAGCAGCCCGCGCGGGGGGGGCTCTGCCTCGGCTGTATCTCGCGGCGGGGGCGGGTGGCGTGAAGGAAGCAGAGATGAGATTGAGCTGGAGGTAACACTGCGTGAGCAAAGCTAGAAATTAGGGTGAAGAATTGTCCGTGAGTTTGCCCTGGAGTAACTTTTTCTTGGAGCATTCATTAGCAGCTGTGCATCCTGGCTGCATTTGTTTGAAAGCAATTTGGTTAACGTGTGCCTGGGTGAACAGGGCAAGTCCCTCTCCGCCTCCAGCTGTGAATTCTGCAGCGAACACTAAGGAGGGGCTGACAGGGTCTCTGTCTGTGTTTGGTGGGTAACACAGTGTTGCTTTCTGGGCAGTTAAAGTAGTATTTCCCAGTATCTGGGGTACTGGGTTTGTCGACTGAGTATGGGGCAGGCAGGGGGGGAATCTCATGCTCTCTGATGTTAAGGACTGGCAGTTTTAGAAAAGAATGTCTCCTTCAGTGAACTTTTGACAGCTCTTTGTAACATCCTCTCCCTCCTAAAGCATGTCAAGCAAACAATGAATTATTTATTGAATGTCTAAATATTGGATTATTTACTAATAGTTAACTGAAAAAGTGAAGCTGAGGTATCTAAAGTTCACAGAAGATATTTCATTGCAAATGCTGTGTGTTCCACCACACCGAATACTGCTTTGAATGCATGACAAGAGCAAAGATGATGCACCAAATCACAAGATAAAAAGGGGAAAGAGAAACATTTTGTTTCTTCCCTCAGAAGCATTAGCTTCCCCACTTTCTGATAACATCACACTGGAAGCAAGACTTAGGTGAGTCACTGTTCAAGGACAAGCTTAAGAACCAAATAGGAGTCTCCAAGGAGCGTTGTGGCGGGGATGGTGCTTCGCTCCTGGCCCGGGTGTCGCAGCCTCTGGTCTTGCCCGATGCTCCCTCGTCCCATGTCCCTGCAGAGCGATGCTGCACCCCGGGACTGAGCCCCGAGCCCCAGCCAGTTGCTGCTCCCCCTTTGTCCTGCTCTTTGCTCCCAGATTTTCTGCCAGCGGATGGCTGAGGGTACGTTTTAGCTCCTGCCGCCCTAAATACCCATTTCTCCCTTCACGCCTGCATACCATGAAAATGCTAAAGACCACTGTCATTGTTCAGCTTATAAAGAACCCCCAAATTTAGGGTGGGACTATACTGTCAGACTATCTTGTTCATTTGGATACTGAGGTATGCAGGGGCCCTGTCTCTTGTGCTCTACCCGCACAGTCTCGGGAGGCTTTTCTACCCGTTACCTTGTAGAGGGCTCAGTACTCTCCGTCCTTGTTTAATGTTGTGTTATCTGCGCCTGTGTAGCTGTTCTTTAAACGGTTTTATGTTCTTTAAATGGCTGATTTTAAATAGTCATTGATTCACTTTCTCCTCACGATTTTCTTTTGATCACTAAGTTTTTTTTTTTTAAAAACCCCTAAATGCAAAGAAATAGACTATACTACTTCTCAACTCCCTGGAGTGTTGTATGGTGATTAACTCGTTAGGGTCACTTGTAAGTAATTACCCCCTTGTTTTCGCACACGCAGGTACAGGACGAGGCTGTGTGATGTGAGGTGAGGTGATGTACAGCCCGGCTCCCCGCGGGACCGGCACCACCAGCCCCAGCTCGCCGGCTCTGCGCTCAGCCCCCGGCGCGGGTGAGCAGCCGCGGTGAGAGGGGCACTGCACCAGAGATTTCTGATGAGAGCAAACGCCCATTAAGTGAGGAGTGGAAAGGTACCGCTCCTTTTACTGCTCCCACAGCTGCCTAGACCCCAGCGTATGATAGTTCAGGGTAAATAGGCAATGTGAGGTATAGATAGATGAAGAACAGTGGCTTGTATTCATGAACCTGGAAAGCAGTAATAGCATACCGCTCGTTACAGGTACTGAAATGTCTTGCAGTAACTTAATCTCTGGCAATCATTGCAGTCAGACACTTTATTTTTATCAATTAAATTTATTTTATGGTAAGGACAGAGTAGGAAAAGATTTTAGGACCTCCAAAACTGCCACCAACTTTTATAAGAGATTTGGATTTTATAACTCTTATGGATGAAAACTTCTGCATATCCAGTGTCGTGCAACAACTCGTGATGCAGGTAGAACGGGTGCTGATTACGTTCTGCTCTTTTCCGCTGTGTCACAACTGCTGTAGAGTTGATACCAGTTTACCAGAAGGGCCATCCTTGGCTGTAGAAACGTTCAGGATGAAAGCAGCGTAAGTGATGAGGGCCCATAGCGGCGTGCATTTCAGCAGAAACACCTGTGGGAAGTTTGTGTGTTGGCTGGAATCGGCCCAGTCCAGACAAGCGGTGCCATTTGTCCCTCACCACCGTGAGACCTGAACAGACCCGCGAATGTTAGAAAGGAGAGATGTCCTTGAAGAGAGCACATAACCAATAATTCATGCAGTATTTTCAGAAGTTACCCTCTATTTTTAACTAGCATCAGCAAAGTCACAGCAAATGGCAAGAACTTAGTCATGATGGTAAATTAAAAATACTGTGAACTGGTATTTGCCATTCTTCCTTATTTGGAGCTTATTCCTCAAATTCCTGTGCTGAAGTGGTGGCTTAAGGCACTACTCACTTGATTAAAGGTAACATGAAATATTTGTTACCCTCTGAACAGAGACAGCTCAACCAGACCTGGCTTCCCTGGTAGTGTTTCTGGAGAAAAACAAAATTTGCAGACTTGAGGGTTTTCAATGAATTGGATTTGAACCCAGACTTCCCAAACACCAGTGCCTGAACGGAGGACTGGAGCAGGGGGGAGCGTGAACCCACAGCCAGATCTGTAGCCCTGATCTATGGACTTCACGGGGCCGGGCTCTGCTGGGACGCTTGCAGGACAGAGGGGCTGTAAAACGCAGGGAAATCAACGCAGAACAACCAGTGCCTGCAGGAGATTCAGACCATTCTGCATGACAAAAAGCACCAAAAGACTGGGATCTGTGTGTTTAAATACATCAAGATATGTTTGGCAAAGTCTCGGGAATAAAATGTAATGATACTCTATTAAAATATGCATGATATAAGTCTTCCCAAAGCCGGGGACCACACCAGTGTTCTAGTGGGCCAGTGTAATTTATGAAACGCTCTGAAGCATTTTTATCTGCTGGTGAAGGAGAGGAGCTGGCAAACACTGCTGGTCTTTGGAGTGTGCCGCTGGATCACATGTGAAGTCTGATAAACTTGTCGAGGTAAGACATCTCAGAGCTATATTTTAAAATCCGAAGAGCTTGGACTTGTTGATCCTTGCATTTGGTGAACGACACAGTCGGACAGACGAAAAGTCATTCAGTAACCAAAGGTGACAAAGATTTAAATACGAGGGTGTATTAATAAATATGAGACAGTGTTGGGCATTCCTATCCCGCTTTATTGCTACCGGCCTAGTTCAGCCTCAGCTTTTAAGCTCGCTAATTGGTTTGATTAGGGAATTGCTCAGAGACAGAAGGAACGTGGCTTGCCTGTGTGCGTTTCCTGCCCTTGCCCATGGTAAATTTGAACATAAGCGCCTTGGTAGAGTACTGCCGTTAATGTGATTTAGACTTATTTGCAACCGGCTGTCTTTAAAGTGCCTCATGCGCGTGCTGCTCCGGAGCTGTAGCA